CCATACGAACCGCCCCCCCCCCCCCTATTCCGTTTTCTTCCAGTATGGCTACACTTTTCTCTTTCTTTGACAGCCTTGCCCCTGCCATCTCTCTGTTTTCTTCTTCCTATGCTTTTCTTCTTTCTTTCTTCTCCCTCCCCTCCCCCTCCCAACCCGCCGTTCGCGTGTAAGGGTGGCTCTGTCACAGCTGCCATCCCGCGGACATGTCAATCACGCGAGAATCTTGCAAAGACGGCGCCGGGACCAGCAGCACTAAGAGCTTCAGCTTCTATCTCCATGAATCGTTTTCCTTCCATGGCCCGGACAACGACGACCGTCAACGGCATGGCAACTCGCTCGTGTGTCCTTATAGTCAACTGTCAGCCCCATTCCAATTGGCCAGATACCGCCGTTCGGTTGACTATGTGTTAAGGTTTCTCAGTACCAAATTACTTCTCGTTTGTTTCCACCTAGCGATTACATCCATATACCTCCGGAATTCACCACGATGATTCCTTTTTTTTCACCTTTCACATCTACTTGGCCCTGGTATTATATTGTAAAGGGGGGAAGGGGGGCAACGGCTGAGCCAACGGGAGTATGAGTGAGCTCTGTCGATCTCTTTTCGCTTCTCCAACCAGGTGCCTGAGGATGTCGTCACTGGTCAAAATGCTTCAGGGAGTGCTCCGTACGCCGCATGACCGTGGGGCTTCACTCGCATGGGATGGACCCTTGATAGCAAACAAAAAGGAGTGACATGCAGAGTCCAATGTGCCTGGTGTAATGAGGCAAATGCAGCTCGCCTTGAATGACCCCGTATTTTCCTTCCTTTTTTCTTTACCTTTTTTATCTCTTGGTATTAATTTAGCTGTTCGGTGTTATATATAGCCATTCGTCTTCCTTATACATAATTCTATATAACTCTATCGTAGTATATAGATGTTCAGCCCTCAACAAAAAGGGAATAGTAGCCTATGAGCGCAGAGAGATACGTGCATGCAAACGTACATGGACACTACTGCATATGAGCCGACTGTCCACCAACGTTGCTTCTGCCACCAGAGCCACTGGCTGGCTTGCTAGTTCCTACAAGAACGCAACGTCAAAGGCCAGTCTGTATCTTTTCTTCTTCTTCCCTGCAGCGCTGTGTACTTGTCGTCATGTGGTTCAGCATAAATATTAGACACCTCGAGATCGACAATCTAGACTGTGCCGGCGGCTCGAGAGCGGCAAGCTGGCTGCGAGAAGTGGGAGCATCTCGAAGCCAGCAGATGGGCTTTGTGAGCAGTGATATACCATATGTGGCACCCTCTTTCTCTCTGATATATACGGAGCAGCCTATGTCTGCAGTCTAACAAGAGCGCCAGGAGCAGCTATTCAACGGGAAGACCATACAAGCTGCAGTAACGGGGGTGGTAGCTGGCGCAGCCAGAACCAGCAGCAGACGCGCCAGATATAGCTACCTGAGGAGCACGGTGATGAAGATCGGATCTTCGTGATACATCATATTTGCTTGTTCGCTCGTTGCCCTCAACCAGATAATGCAGCGAATTTCGCACAGGGACATCGATGTTGTACAGATACATACTGCATCGCAGGCCGGGAAGACAAGGAGAGCTCCAGAGGGGGCCTGAGTCCCTGCGCCAACAGCCTTCCAACCCATCCATCTCGACTGTCTCCAGCCGTTGCAGGACCAATTATTTGGAAGAACCGTCTGAAGTCTAAAAAGAGACAGCGCTCAAAATCAACTGGCGGCGATGACTGACGTACGCCAGGGCCAGGGCCAGGGGTGATGGGAAGGGAGGGATGGGATGGGATGGAGAGCCACACGCCAGGAGGATGGGCGCCGGTATGTCGGGATGGATTTCCGCCAGGGATGTAGGAGTCTACGTTAAAGAGTGCATATCTATAGCTATCTATGCATGCTATGTATAGCTAGTGATAGGTGTGTGTGGTGGTGGTGCTGGCTTTCAGCTCGCGGCTCCGCGGGGATATATCTGGTGATTGGGCTGGATAGACGTCCGTCCGTGGATTGGGCGAGTCTGCTGCTGAGGATGAGACAAGGAAAAAGGAAGCAGATGCTGAAGAAGAGCTGACGACGATTGATGGTTGCGGCGGGTGGTGGTGGTGGTGGTGGTGGTGGTGGTGATATCATGGATCCGGCTGGTCCGCGCTGGTATCTATCAATTGCCATGGTTCTTTCGAACAACCAAATGCACTCGGGCACACTTGGCGGTGGATGTTAGCTCGTCTGCCTTACTCTATCTGGAAATCAACGGGTGTGTACGGAGTATACGAAGAGATATTAACGGGCTAACTAAGACTCGAGGCCCTCGACAGACACAATAATTGGTGACCTCAAGGGGGAGAGAGGAAGAGAGAGAAACGAACAGGAACCAACCAGGACGTGGCTTCTGAAGGCACCAGCAGCTTGGTTCCCGGGATCTTCACGCCAGTGCTCCGCCTGTCTGTCTGCAATCCGAATTGAGCGTCGCAGATGGGCTGTATATACAGGCATCAACTAGGTTAACTAAGTTAACTCCAGGGCCGGCCCTCCTGTGCCCGTAACCGCGGGAGTCTGGATACGGATTTCTGAGCATCAAACGTGGAGCTCATTCCCCAGCCTTGACTTCTCAACCTGTCCTCCTGCATCAATACGGGGAAAGCATATATATGCGCCCCTTAACTACAGCACCAATGTATCAACCATCCTGACTCGTCAATCTTATCTGCAACAACCATGGGGGCGAAACAAAAGCCGGGCCTCTCAACCGTCTTGCCAATTAAAACCGTCAAGCCGAGAGGGAAGAGGAAGGGCGAAAAAAATAGAGGCCCCAATGCAAAGGAAGGAAAAAAGAAACGAGAAATTTAAAAGGAAAAAATATTGGAAGCAACAGAAGAAAAAGAAAACCCGAGACAAAGACCAGACAGCTGTACAGCCCTTCTCTCATATCAGAGCTTCTCATTTAGCTCTGGCCGTCAGAGAAAGGGCAGACGGGGTTCCGGGACGGGCCTCAGGGGAGAAGCTCAGCTTTGCTTCTTCCCGATAGAAAAGAAAAGAAACGAGACGAGAAGAGAGAAGAAGAAAAAAAAAAAAAAAGAAAGAAAAAAAAAAGGAAAAGAACAAGGTCACTGCTCTAACTATGTTCCCTGGGTTGTATATATATACTGATTGAACAGCCCGGGTCAGTGGCCCTTTTCACTCCTCCATCACAGTACACCGTGCAATTTCACTCGTTGGACACCTACCACATATATATACACACAGAGACCTGTCTTCGCACCAAGTGATCAATCCCTGGTGTACCACTGTCCTGTGTGCTCTCACTATTTCAATTATTCATAGCCGGGGACCAGGAAGCAGATTAGTTACTATATAAACACCGGCTCCCCCTTCCAACTCGGAGACTCCCTCTTCCTCTCCTCTCCTCCTCTTCTTAAAGCCGTCTTCTTGACCAGCAAAGCACACGAATCGAAGGCATCTCTCCGAAACATCCACTCCCAGACCCCTCGCTGGATCTGCCTGACTTTGCCCTTGCGCTCTTCCACTAATCGACCCGTCGTGCTGGAACACCCCTACGCCTTGGCTGTGCTTAGCCCTTGCTTCCCAGGCCTCCCAGCAGCCAACCCCAGCGTCCGCGCAACCCCCTGACGCCCCTTAGTTACCCAACCCCTCAGGGCCGAGCTGTAACCTGCAGCATAGCGTCTGTTCCTCTTCGGAGACCTTCTGCCGAATCAAACACCCGCACGCTTTAGGCACCGTCAACGTCACTCGCACACCCAACCGACCAGCTAGTCAGCTAGTCAGCCATGGCCAACCCGCGGTGTCCTCACCAATGGGGGATCGTCCAGACCAGCAACGGCAGCATCCTGACCTGGCGCTGCTCGATATGCAACGGCGGCCCTTTTGTCGGCATCTGGCGCTGCAAGGTGTGCGGCTTGATGAAGTGCAACCCTTGCTACACCAAGTGAAAAAGTGATAACCAGCCGGCAAATATGTATCTCGACCATCCACATCGGTGCTATGATCATGTTTACTTTTGATCAACGCCACCGGCTTTTTTTCTTTTCCCTTTCCTTATTATTGTCGTTTTCTTTCTTCTGCAGGGATCTTGGGGAGCAAAGGTACTTGCATCATGCAGGCAATTAATACGTCTGCAGACCCTTCTTCCTGTCCCCTGCCTTCAAAATAACAACACAATTCTCAGTGCACTTTAACCATTGTGCCCTGCATGTTCGCATCAATATCCTTCGCCGAGATCTCTCGCTTCACACCGCTCGTGCAAACACAATAAGAGTGTATCTTGAACATGCCCGGCTGACCAATCACCCTTGATGTGTCTGTTCCCTTTTTCGATTTCTATATTTTTTATTCTCGATGTATCGGACCTCAGCCTTCGAATTTGCGCTCGCGGCTATGCTTCTCTTCTCTCTTGAGGGGCTATCTCTTTTTTTTTTCTTTTTTCCTGTTTCCTCAGTCAATTGACTTGATACCCAATTACGAGCCTGCAAATTTCACGGATTATATGCATTCTTACTTTTTCTGCGTTATTCCACTCTCCTTCCCACCTATTACTAGCGTTTCGCCTTTTATATATACATTTATTAGCCTGACTAGTTAACTATCGGAATATAAAATGTGAGTCCGAGACGGCAGTTTCACGGGAACCTACAGCGTCCGAATTAGTACTCTGCAGACAGGAAGTTCTTACGTTGTTCAAGTAATCAAGTAACCCCTAGTCATATGGGGAAGGACTGTCCGAGTAGAGCGCAGAGAGAGCCTTATCGCCGTGCATAACCACTTTGCACGAAGTCATTTTTACCTTCGTTAACTTGGTTGCCCCTGGCCACATCCTGCCCTGAGCTCGGAGTCTATCTCAGCACGGATGCAACGCCACCGCGGACTAGGCGAAAAATCTAGTATCAAGATCTTAGCTTAGGCGAGGATGCAGTTTCGCCTAACCAGCAGGTATCTTGATCTATCCAATTTCCTGGACCAGGACGTCCCCAGCGTGGCGTCTTAACTCGGACATCAACGAAAAGGTAGAAGCCACAGATTGTGGACATCGTAGGTCGTTCTAGACGGATACTGAGATTGCTATCAATTCCCGACCCGAGATTTCCGATATACGGCCGTGCTGACAAATTCAGTCACTGTACGGAGTATGAGGGGGTTATTAGTGAGATGGCCGTATGAATCATAGAAGGGGGGGTTAAAAGTAGCAGAGCAGACATATTCACTGAATACATACCTAAGGGGGCGAGATAGCTAGCACACAAGTGTTGATATCACAGCAATCAAAATGGCAGCCCTTGACCTATCTCTGCCTACCGTCCTTCTCATCATCGACAACCACGCAGCCTTCGACAACGAAGCCTACTGGGGCAAGAGATCAAATCCGCAGTACAAGGAGAATGTCACCGCGCTCATAAAAGCATTCCGGGATGCGCACGCGCGAAACCCCCATATCGAGGTCATCCACATCGGCCATTCGTCCACTAACGTCAAGAGTGTCCTGCACCCCTACCATCCAGACGGTGGTCCGGCCTTCTACCCGTTCACCGAGCCTATCCCTGACGAGCTGGTCTTCTGGAAGAACGTGAACTCGGCCCTGGTCGGAACCGACTTGGAGAAGACGCTGAGGGCCAAGGGCGTGAGGCAGCTGCTGCTCCTGGGCCTGACGGCGGAACACTGCGTATCTACCACGACTCGTATGGCGGCGAACCTGGGCGTTACAAACGCCCCAGACGGCAGCACAGATGGCCGGGTTATCCTGGTTGAAGATGCTACTGCCTCGTTCCCCTGCGGGCGGTTTGATGCAGATACCGTCCATGGCGTCTCGGTTGCAACGCTGAAGGAGTTCGCGGAGGTGGTTCAGACGGCCGATGTTTTGAGAGACTTGCAGCCGCTGCTGTCGTGATTATCTCGATGTTATATGCATGGATCTGGCCCAAACTCCTTGTCTGATTAAGTGATGAATCAACGGCAGCGTGTATTCGTAGTCGGTGTTCGATCTATATCACATTTCAGGCTATATTAATATTATGCAGCTATAGTTAGTTATGGAATAAACACGCCGTAGGGCAATCCCACATACCGTCTAGGGGCCTTCTAGTACCTGCATGGAAGCCAACAGGCAAGCATCGTAAAACTAGCGGCCTTTGTCGATTTGATGTAATAGTGTCGAGCGTTATATGTTGCGTTGCATTGCGAGGTGCATAAGATCCGTTTCATCGCTGCAGGCTTGACACAAACACCCTGCACCCGCCAGAATTGAGGACTCGCAACGATGGACTCTGCAGGGAACATCTATCGGCATAAGGTCGATTTCACGGCCCTGGCCCTGCAAGACCCGGCCTTTAAGGAGTTGTAAGGCTCTCTTCGTCGTCTCGTTCTGGATGTGGCCGCATGATCGCTGACCGTTCGTCTCGAGGGTAGCTTGAGTGCAAAGGGACGGCTGGACTTCAGCAACCCGGATGCTGTCAGGTAGGTGATTAATTGATACCGGCGACCATTTTACTCCTTGTCTGGGGGACCTCTCTCTTCGGTCTGCCTGCAGTTTACGGTGCGGTGGTTGATACCCGGGTTTCACAGGCAATTGACCGTCAGCCTACTTCGCCGTGACTTTGGCTTGGACGTCGAGCTCCCTGATGACCGGCTCTGTCCGCCGGTAAGTCGTATTTATGCGAGTTTTGGTCTTGACAAGGATGCTGACTCTGGCCTGTAGGTCCCTAATCGGTGCGTTGTTGTGCTCTTTTGCTTTGATGTTGATGTTTATGGAGCCTGATCGATGCTTGCGGCAGGCTCAACTACATCCTCTGGTTACAAGATTTGATAGACTGCACTGGCGATGACTTTTATAAAGGATTTAATGCCGATAGAGATGTAGTTGGACTTGATATGTGGGATAATACCCTTCCCCTCATGATATATTTATTCAGGGCTAACAATGGTATATCGAACGGGCAGCGGGACGGGGTCAAGCTGTATATACCCCTTGCTAGGAGCAGTGCACAGAAAAAGATGGACATTCGTTGCAACAGGTGCGCAGGCTTGTTGAATGACAGTGTAGAGAACTGCTGCTTATGCTATCTAGATATCGACGAGAAGAATTTACAATATGCGAGACAAAATGTGCAGAGAAACAACCTACAATCGCGTATCCAAGTGGTAGATTCAGTACCGGATGGGCCATTAATCCCTCTTGACAGGATCCAGTTAAAGATGTAAGCAATTGAAACCTACCTATTCTCTCCAAAACTTATTAACTTGGGCCTCGAGGCTGGATTTCACCATGTGTAATCCTCCATTCTATGAATCTCATGAGGAGATGAAGCAACTGGCAGAAGAGAAGCAGAACGAGCCGCTTTCTGTACGCCGATGACCTCACAAACACGTTGTACTGTATATCAAACTAAAGAAGCTATAGGTTTGCACTGGAGCAGAGACGGAAATGATAACGCCCGGAGGGGAAGTTGCATTTGTTAAAAAGATTATCCAGGAGAGCCTAGATTTACGAGAGGCTGTAAGGTGGTATACCTCCATGCTGGGAAAGCGGAGCAGTCTCCTCTCACTTATCGACGAGCTCCAGAGCCTCGATAACAAAAATTGGGCAGTCACGGAATTTATCCAGGGGGATAAGACTAAACGTTGGGCTATTGCCTGGTCGTGGAAGGATATACGGCCGACAATGGTAGGTGGTGGATACGGGTCAGCGGAAAGAAAAGCAGCTATGCTAACGGGTCACCATGCTGCAGGGCGTTTCCAGGAGCGTATCCAACATACCCAAAAAATACCTACCGTTCCCATCCGAGTTCCAATTCACCTTGCCGTGTAAATCTGTTGACTCTTTGATCGAAGTGATAGATACCGAGATCAATTCATTCCGGATTCCCTGGAAATGGGATAATCAACGGTCAAGTGGATTAGGCTTCACGATGGAAAATGCTTGGTCTCGGCAGGCAAGAAGGAAAAGACAGCAGCAGGAAGCTGCTCAGGATGGATCTGACCAGGCAGATATTCCGTTCGATACCGAGAATGCTGTATTTGGATTTATCATCCAAGTGAGGCGTCCGGGCCCCAAGAATGCCGATGTTACCGTGCGATGGGTAAAGGGGGCTGATTCTGTCATTTTTGAGAGTTTCTGCGGTATGTTGAGGAGGAAGGTAGAGGGAAGGTAGCTTCCCTTGGCGAACGGGCGAAAATTCCATGGGTTTACCCTTACTTATGAATGTATGATTAGAATGTCAATTATTAGCGGATGCTAGCATTCCAGGACCCGACGGGGTTGATTGAAAAGCTTCGAGAGGTTTGTCCCAGTCTTCTTTTTGGTTTTTATCTCCCTCTCCAGGTTTACTGGATTGTCTTCGAGAAAGCATGACCCGTCCAGTCTTCTGGTGAACCCCTTCAAACAATGCTAGCCCCTTTACTGGATCTACCTGACGATATATGGGAGCGGGAGGCTGCCGTACACCCCAGGAAAACCACCATTTATTTTTGCTGGAATCCCACTGGATAAGGGGCGTCAGGGCACAGATACGCTCCCACATATGACGCATAAGTCTTCTAGTGATCTGGTGCGGTCGACCTCGGACGTATTGTGCGAATGTGGGATCCTTCGTGGCGCCATTAATAAGGAAGTCGGTACTAAGGTAGCTTTGTTCGGAAGCACTAGTGGAATCCCCTGAGGTGATTTGGTTGGGGCCTTTCCTCCGTACTGGTGGAGTCCAAGGTTCGCTTCCTTCTACCAGGCGTTGAAGTGTTTCCCAATCGTGCTGCGGCAGGGGAGGAAAGGTTTTGTCGAGCACATGGGCGTACCACTTTTGGCGAATGTGTATTTTCCTTATATCTGCAAGCGGCCGGGCAAGAGCATTTAATTCGGGTATGCGAGGTTCCAGATCAGTTGTCCTAACTGGCCTTTTAACCTTCTGGGCACCGATATTGCTATTCTCACTCTGACTCTGCAAAAGTGCAAGATGTAGTTCTGACGGCCTCCAGTGCTGTGAGAACGCAGTTTTGGACCCAGACCCGGACTGTAAAAATGGTCGTAGTAATATTCGCTTCCTCCGTCCAATTCGGCCGTAGGACATGAGTAAAACACGCTCAAGTGACTTTGTATATCCTTGGTTTGCGTGTTGTAAGAGTTTCATGTTTTTCTTGATGCGAGTATGCAACCGGCCAATTTTGGCAGCATTCATCGACTTCTGCTGTTCTACCGAGGTGAATTTGCGGTATCTCGACGTGATATACTCGGCCATATATCTCTTCGCAACGGGATCGGGGAGGTAGCTCGCTTCCCTGAGCAGGGCTCGGTAATGGCTCTTCCATGGGATGGTAGTCGCCATGGCAGTTGACAGAATCGACTGTACAGGTCAATCGCTGCGTGGACAGGAGATCAAAATACCAGCACCCAATATCCTGCACTTCGTATATCGTTTCTCTTGCCTTCCCCTCGTCCGGCTGCGGTCTTTGATGTCTTTGCTGCGTGTTTCTTCCTCCTTGCATACAAAACGAAAACGGCGACGTTGAATATGCGCGCTTAGTCATCAAGCGCGCGCTTAGACGCGAAAGTGGGAAAAGCCGAAAGGGGAAAAAAGGAAAAGAAGAACTCCCGACGAGCCTCATCTTTTCTCTACCAGCAGATTTTCCGTGTCCCTGGATGGCCTGCCGATAAGGCTCCTGTATAATCTATCTTTATCCAGCAGCCTCCGCCCGTCTCGTCGACTTCAGCTTCGAGCGGGTGAAAGGGCGCGGGTAACGTGACCACGCGAACCACTCACAACTTTGCCAGGTCGCGACGCCAGCAAGAAAGCCACAGTCTGTCCAGTTAAATTCATAGTCGGCACAACGTTCTTGGTATGACTGTATACTGCTTTGTTTGGTTATATTCACCTCATTATGGGCTACTGACTTCGACTAGAACTAATTACGCTTATACCAAGACCGCATAGCTGCTCAACGGTTGATCCCGCCCTTCAAGGGATCTGGCCTCGGGCCCTTGGACTTGACTCTGGAATAACCACGGAGAGGCTGTTTCTATCCTGATGTCGTTCTCAAGGAACTCTCACGGTGGTCCACCGAACGGTGCCTCATTTTCTCAATCTAGACATAATTCTTTCCATGCCTCGCAATCTCATGCGTCCACTCCGGCTGGATCTCCTCCACCCAGGGCATCCCAGCACTCCAACGTATCGACTAGCTTTTCTACCAACGGCATGAACAACTCGGTGTCTAGAGGCAATTATGGTGGTTATAATGAAGGGAATGGGTACAGATCCATGCCTTATCAGGATGGATATAAACCACAGATTTATACCGTTTGTTTGGCCCCTTGAATCACACCAGACCAGGGCAAAAGTTGTTTAGTAAACTAACATATTATATCCTCTGTATAGGCCGTTTATTCGAACGTCTCAGTGTACGAAATGGAAGTGAATGGAGTGGCTATGATGCGTCGGCGTTCGGATTCTTGGTTGAATGCTACTCAGATTCTTAAGGTAGCAGGTGTAGCGAAAGCACGCAGAACCAAAACCCTGGAGAAAGAAGTCGCGGCCGGTGAACACGAGAAAGTTCAAGGCGGGTATGGAAAGTACCAAGGCACTTGGGTCAGTTATGAGCGTGGTCTAGAACTTTGCAGGCGGTACCAAGTTGAAGATTTGCTGCGGCCATTGCTGGAATATGATATGGGCCAAGACGGTGTCAGCGCAGCAGGACAGGGACAGCTGGACACACCTACAAAGGAACAAGCCCTGGCTGTACAGAGAAAACGCTTTGCACAAGGGCTGGATGCTCATACTGGCGCACAATCTGGCGGCACCTTTTTCCAGAGCATATCTCGGACCGCCGCAACTGCGGTAAACGCCATCAGCAAGGCTAGATTTGACACTTCTATCAGAGGGTCCGATGGACGACAAGCTAGCATGACAAGGAAGTCTTCCCAGATGAGCAGTCAGGATGCCCAGTACCAATCAGCCAGCCAGCAGAGCATCCAAACTGTATCCGACAGTGGTTTCGGTAGTAACCTCCAGAACAGCCAACGCAGCTTTGCTGAGTATACTCATGATGAAAACCTAGAACCTCCCCGAAAACGGATGCGCTCGTCATCCATCGCGCAGCAAATGTCTTTCGCCAACAACACACAGCCCACAAGCTCCATGGCCGAACCGACACCTACTGAGCCCAACGATTCGTTCTATCCAGAAGAGTCCACCAGCAATAGGATACCCGATGACCCAAGACATGGCATACCCGCACTTCCAGCAGCGACAACGCCTGAGAGATTCCAGAAAATGAAACTAATTATGACTTTGTTCTTGGATAAGCGCATGAAAGATTTTGAACATCACCCTGCGTTCCTCACACTCACAGCAGAAGACCTCGAAACACCGCTCGATGAATTCTTGAATAGCGCTTTACACTGGGCCGCGATGCTGGCACGGCTGCCATTGGTAAATGCTCTTATAGCCAAGGGTGTGAATATATTCCGATTGAATGCCGCTGGCGAGACTGCATTGCAGAAGGCCGTTGGGACAAGAAATAACCTTGACTACCGCAGCTTCTCCAAGCTATTAAACCTTCTTGGCTCGACCATAGAGATTATTGATTTACACGGGCGCACAATCTTACATCATATATCCATGATGGCAGCGACTGGTGGCGGAGGCCATGTAGCTGCCAAACACTATCTTGAGTCCCTCTTGGAGTATATCGTGCGGCACGGCGGAACCACCAATGGTGCGAGTGAGTTCTCAGAATCTCCCAAGTTTGAAATCATTGGTCTAGGCAGATTCATGTCAGAGATGGTGAATATTCAGGATGATCAAGGAGATACTGCGCTCAACTTAGCAGGAAGAGCTAGGACCGTTCTTGTTCCTCAACTTCTTGAAGTTGGTGCAGACCCTCATATCCCTAACAATACCGGCCTTCGCCCTGCAGATTACGGTGTGGGTGTGGATATGGTCAATGGAAATAGTCAGGGTCTCCAGATTGGCAGTGGAGGTGACGCACACATGAGCCAATTAGCAAGAACAAAGAAGGAGATTCTTGAATGTACGCCCCCGTTTCCTCTCCTACCCTTTCTAACCCTTTCCGTAGCAGTGAGATATCATTTCGCTAACGTCTGCAAAAGCAACTGTTTCTCAAATAAGTACAGCTATTGAGGCTTCAATAAGTTCCTTCGATAAAGAGTTGGCCAGCAGTTTCAGTGAGAAACAACAAGAGTTCAACGAGTGGCACGCTAAGATCAGGGAAAGTGCCAAGGCTCGTCAGATAGAGCAGAATCGTCTTGACGAAATGAAGAAGAAGACGCGAGAACGAATAGAGCTACAGAGGCAAATCAAAAATCTCACAGTGTCCTCGGAAGCGCTCATGGAACAGCTGCGCCAGTCAAAGAATGGTGACAGGGCCAGTGAGACTCTGGCAGGCAAAGATCGAATCAAGTTTGACAAGCGGAAGATTGATGAGCTCTTCCCTGACGGAGCGGGCAGCACCCGCATGAGAGCCAACACTGTTGGACAAGGGAGGTTCATATTCTCTCTACCGCGTCTAGAGCAATTGAAGACACGCTTGAAATGCTGCAAGGAGCAGACGGCCTCGATACTCGCTGAAGTCGAGAAACTCAAGACGAAGAACGTTGTCCTGGGTGAGAATTATAGGCGCATGGTGATGGCCTGTACAGGGTGGTCGGCTGAAGATGTCGATAACGCAGCCGATGGCTTGACGGACTGCATTAAAGATCTGAACAAGAATCCAGTACCACAAGATCAAGCCATTGAGATTTTGATGAAAGACAGAGGCCAAGACTGGTGATCGTGGATCATGCCCTGGATCCTCTTGTTTGTTTTACAACTTTTTTTTCTCTCTCTGCCGTCTTGACTGAACGAATATCACGACTTTGCTAAATGCTTATTCTTGTTTTTATCGTTGATCTCATTTTCTACTTCACTGTTATATCTATGTTCATGATACTGTATTTGAGACGGCGGGCGCGGGGCGTAGGTTTATTTCCTGGCTTATCGTTTGAGATGCCTGGCATATCTCTCCTCTTTGGCTTAGCCTATGTTAATAGTAGTACCTACGGAATGCTGAATATCTGACTCTATCCTGTTCATTCTCATGCAGGCATTCTACATCCATATAACACCTTCCCAGAAAGGCAAGGCCACGGGCTTTCCTCATTTGGAAGTAAAGAAAGTGCGGCTGAAAAAGCTTGGCATAACGGAATCAGCCACACGTGATTACCGAATGGGGACTAGCGCCTTCCCCGCTGGAAATTAAAGTCACGGGACCAAGGCATGCAACATAAAACTACTTCGCAACTCCAACGACGCGGCTGCGATCCTTCGTATTAACCAGTCTCTCTCTACGTTGTGTGTCATTACGGAAAGCTGTAGAGACCCCTATTTGCTCTTAGAACACTTATTTTTTCTTTTTCTTGTGATATAACTACATAAACATGTCCGGATACTACGGAGGCCCCCCTCAGGGCGGCGGCTATGACAACTACGGCCAACAGCAAGGCCAGTATTATCAAGGCCAGGGCCAATACCAGCAACACCCGCAACACCCACAACAACAACCGTATGGAGGCCAGAATCAGGGACCACCCCAGCAAGGTGGCTACTATGACCAAGGTTTCCCTCAACAGCAGGTAACTAAGCCATTGTTTATACCCAACCACAGCTATATCTAGAGATTCCCTTACTAAATGAGGCTCTTTTATAGCAGCAATATGGCTATAATACCCATCAGCAGTATGATAACGGAGGTCAGCAGCAGTATGGCGGTGGGTACCCTCCGGCCGGCCAGCAACAGCATCAAGGTGAGAGCAATGCATACTACGGCGGCGGTCCACCTCAGCATAGCGGAATGCAAGGGGCTCCCGCTTATCCCCAGGGTCCAGGTGGGCCAGCAGGTCCAGGCGGCCCTGAAGGCGAGCGAGGCCTGGGAAGTACGCTGGTCGGAGCTGCTGGAGGTGGATTTATGGGTCACAAGCTTGGCGGAGGGGCGTTGGGCACCATCGGTGGCGCTGTTATCGGCGCTGTTGGAGCTAACGTCGCTGGACATGCCATAAAGGAGTAAGCTATTTCCCTTTATCTACTAGATAAGATATACCCAGTGCCCAGTGTGTCGGAATTCCTCCCTCCTTTTCTTTTGTTTTCATCGAGCCATTGCTCTTCCAAAATGCTACAATGATTAGTATGCTAACTTCCAAAATAGCCATAAGAAGAAACACAAAGGTGACAAGAAGCACAAGAAGGACAAAAAGCACAAAAAAGAAAAGAAGAGAGGCCACGGATCCTCATCCTCGTCCTCGTCCTCTGATAGTAGCGACAGCGACTAGGGATGAAACCGATGGTAACTGGCTAGCATAAGAGTCTTCATCCTAAGATGTCGCAATGTCTGCCCTAAGCCCTTCACCACGCGGCCCCTTGTGTTTATTGATGTACATATTGTTATGATTAATGATCGTTACTGTTATCGCGTATACGATCCGTTTCTTCCCCCTGTGCTGCTCCCCTTCCCCCTTCGTGTTTGTATTCATTTGTGTTGCCATTCTCCAGCTCACACTACTACTATAGCAGCATACGTGACGTGGAATGACTCAGCTATCGTGTTTCATCCATCTGATACCATTTGCTCCCCCGGCGGTTTCTAATTACAGCTTCCGGCTGGATCATTCAGCGGAGGGGACGCCAAAGATCCCTTCTGTGCTACTCCATACCCTTGGCGGACTAGTCCTTGGGATGATGCTTCCTCCCACCGCCCTCAATGCTAGCTTGGCCCTTGGCCCCTTGAGGCCCGGAAGCCCTCTCATTGGCAGGCCAACAGAGCTGTCGTTTTCGCGCTCATTCTTAAGTTGAGAAGCGGTTACACCGCCAGGACAAACCTCAGGCGAACGTGGTTTACGGAGTACAGCCTCTCAGCTTCGGGAACCCCTTAGGCTGCTCAGGAACGATTGTCTCTCACTCCCTGAGTCATGGGTCCCTGTCGCGCTTGTACTCCCGATTCTCGCCCAACATCAAGCCACCGAACCTGTCAATTTTTTTTTTCCTTCCGAACCACGCACCCAACCCACGTCGTAGGGTGGGAAGAGGCTAGGCACCTCTAATCTTAAATCGACGGTGGTGGCTTATCCGCGCGTTCTCGCCCAGCGCTTGGCGGGTGTTGATCTGCTTATCGGTTGGGCTGAGAGTTCATCTTCCAGCTCTAGGTGTTGGTAATCAAGTCCTAGTCGGATCTGATCCATATCACTACCCGCTTGCAGTATTCCGGGAGTTGGTGATGGACTCGGGAGCCAAGACGAACCTTAACTATACCCTTTGTCAACTCTTGCAGTTACTTGCAACCAAGGATGCTTTGAAATCAGCGTCATAGACATGACGCACCTCTTCCTCCTCTGTGCTTGTTTGTGATAGAGGACAGCTTCAGCCTACCTCCTGATTATCAGTTTCTGCGCTCTGCTGGACCTGGGCTAGTCATCAATCATCGTATTTTCATTCAGCCACATGGTTGACAGAACGCTCCCAGCGTGGCGGAAGCCCGAGAATGCCTATCACGCTACAGCCCCCTAACCCGCGTGGCTTCGACTCAAGCACTGCTTGGCCCATCCAGGAGCGATTTTAGTTGGTCCGCCCTTCCGCTCCGTTGGCTCATCCTTGTTCTTTCCGTTTGGAGAATTGGCGGGTTTCAGATTCGATTGCCTAAGCCCGGGAAGGAGCTTCTTTCTTCTTCGTCGTCAAAGCATGGGATGAATCCTTCGGAACTGGCTCTCTTGAGCATGCCCATATTGATATATATATAAGTGGAGCCCCTTGGTATCTTGGTTATTGGGGGGATCTCCTTGGGAAAATAGAATATATCAGACTGCCTGCTACAGACTGAGCACTGCCCTGCCGACCAAGTACTTAGAACCCTATTTCTATTTCTTCGTCAAGGAGACAATCCCTTTTTATATCACCATAACATCTGCCTTCTCATCGTTATTTATATCAATATGTCAAAGACAACAGAACAATCCGTGAGGTTTGACACTGCTTCTACACCGGTGGAGGTTACCGTCCATCCCACTCCAGCCAAGATAAATGAGAAGACGTTCGATGAGGATGTTGAACGAGCTCTACGGTCTTCAGCTCCCAGAGCGCGCCCTGGGCCGATCCCGTCCGGGAACTCGTCCTTGACTATGATCACTGGCTGGGCGGATGACATCGAGGTTTCATCAAGATCAGGGGGAGGAATAGTACAGCATTTCAAGAGAGATATAAATAAAGCTGGCACCGAGATACTATTGATAACATGTGCGTTTATCTCTGGCGTTATTGATAGTGCCGCCTTTAATGCCTGGGGCAGTTTTGCAAACATGCAGACAGGTAAAGCCTTGTCCCTTTGACCTATGCTAGACAATAATCATACTGACCGGTTGAATCCAGGGAATGTTGTTTTCCTTGCTTTAGGCGTCTCTGGTCAACCGCCCAGACCCCCAAACAGATGGGCTAAGTCCCTGATTGCCATCGGATCCTTTGCCATCGGAGTCCTTTTCTTTAGATATGCTTCTGCCTTTCTACGTCCGCTTCGACGATCAACACTTGTGGCGTCATTTGCCCTTCAGACCACTGCAATCCTCGTCTCTAGCATCCTCGTAGAAACAGGTGTAGTGGATTCAAGTATCGAAGTTTCCACCCGCGGAGTCCACTGGATCCAGGTTTTACCCATCAGCATACTAGCCTTCCAGGCTGCCGGCCAGATAGTTACTTCACGATTGCTCGGTATCGACGAGATACCAACTGTTGTCCTAACGACACTCCTCTGTGACTTACTCATGGATAAGAAGCTATTTAGCTTCCGCCCACGATGGAAACTAACGGACTTCCGCACCAGGCGCCTATTGACCTTGCTAGCTGCCTTCTCTGGTGCCATGCTTTCTGGCGGCTTATCGAAAGTAAGCGGCTTGTCTGCTTCATTGTGGCTAGCTACTGGGATAAAGGCAGCAGTAACCCTGTGCTTCATCCTATGGCAGGGAGAAAAGGACGAGAACTTTGGCGATAATTGATCATTTTGGGTTTTTGGATATTAAAATTGGGATTCTTTCTTCATACGAGCTTTTTTATAACCAGGCGATGTTTTATGACAGTATGGCTTCCAATTCACAGACTATTGATGGAGTTACTCTTGGTGTTTTGTAATATCTCGATCCTCTGTGGTCCAAATATATAACCACGTAGCCAAGACGGCTCTCCGCACTTTTCATCGGCGGATCGGTGACCTTGACTAACCAAGGATGGATAGAAAGGCTGATGGGACGGCGTAAACAGCGTCCGATAGTCCTATATAAGCGACTCTCCCGCGTACAATCCCTTCACTGAATGCTGTTGTATCGGTTCCGACTTCTCCCGACACGCCGAGAATACGCAAAGATTACTAGATTCGGTAATGGTTGCGAGGCATTCTATGTATATACGTGAGCGCAGCAGGAGAGAAGGATTTTCTCATCATGTTTACGACAACTGTACGGCGTCATTGCAGGCATTACTCTTCATTGAAAGTCGGTTGATACATAACCATGAAGGCTACTATACGGCCGTTTATAAAGGCACAAGGTCAGTACCCCCTTTTTTGAGGATTGGTGAAAACGTCGAATTCGTCCTGGGATTTGTTTTTGGCCTTGCTGACGGCTCGAGGGTGATGCTATATAGCTCTCTCCCAATATACCAGGCGTCAAGTCGTCTTTCAATCTCAATGTGTTTCCTCCGTCATAGTGAAGGTCAAGAATGCCTCTACAACGCCAACTACTACTGACGGACGGACAAACGAAACTACTCCAAGAGCCATACTAGCCCGCCCTAAGAGACTGGAAGTCCCTCTACCCAGTCAGGGAGAAGAACCTACACCTCTCCGGCACATACTGTGCGCATTAAACCACTACCCACACCATACACGCACACAGCTAACATAACACACCCAGGACCAAGTTCGACCAAGTGGCAAACTGGGCCCGTCAAGGCTCCTTATGGCCCCTGACCTTCGGCCTCGCATGCTGTGGCGTAGAAATGATGGCCGTCTCCATGCCCCGCTACGACCTGGATCGCATGGGTATAATTTACCGTGCCTCGCCCCGCCAGGCAGATGTGCTTATTGTTTCGGGCACGGTGACCAACAAGATGGGTCCAGCCCTGAGACTGCTATACGACCAGATGCCGGACCCGAAGTGGGTGATTAGTATGGGCAGCTGCGCGAATGGGGGAGGGTATTATCATTATAGTTATAGTGTGGTTCGAGGGGTGGATAGGCTAGTTCCTGTGGATGTGTATGTGCCTGGTTGTCCGCCGACGGCAGAAGCGTTTCTGTATGGGATTTTGCAGTTGAAGAAGAAGATTGCGAGACAGAGGACGACGAGGATGTGGTATAGAAAGTGACGGGGACGTAGTTATGTCGTTTTTTGGTCTCTTTTGATTCATGTATGTGTTGTCTAGATCTACGTTTTTTGGTGTAGTTAATTGCCGCTGACTTCCTTCAGCAGGGTATCAAGTCTGCTCCATCCTTCGGTGCCGTCCCAGTATGCCTTGCCCTTACCTAGTATCCCTCTAACGGCGCTGCGGGATTTGAATCTCCAGTCCTTAGCGACGAGTTCGGGTTCGTCTGCTTTCGAACTGTCCTCGGTTTCCTTGTCCATTCCGCCGTACACGGCGTACCCTTTTCGAACGAGCGTTTCAGTAGCTTTGACGATGTGGTTCCATTTATCTTCTTCGCCCATCTGGTATGCTCCCTGTGCACAGGAGGCGGTTGTTGCACGCCATGCCTTTTCATGAGCAGCTAGAGCCTGGGACGGTCGACCGCGCCATTTCTCGAGGTCGGCGACTAGAAGCCATAGTTCGGGAGAGTGGGTGATGAGGGGTATTATGTTCTCGTCGAACAGTCGGAGTAGCTTTGCGTGTATGGAGCCTGGTCTAATAGCCGCGGGATCATAGGCGATTGATATACTGCTTCCTTCTCGCGGGGTGGTCAGAGTCTTGACTAGAGCCGTTAGGACGGGTATGTCTAGGCATTTCTCCCCGTCCTTTTCACCACGCAGCTCAATCAGGCGTGTTTGAGCAAGTAGTACGTCACGGAACGGAGTGGATGGAGGGGGTATCGAGGCTCCAACCGTGAGAATGTTATCCCATATTCGGTGGTCGGTATGTTTGAATCTAGCTGCCCTGTGAAGCGCGGCCAGAGCATCCCGCTTCTGCTTGTAGATATCTAATTCCTCATGACTTTCCTGCTCATCTTCCTCTTCGTCATCCAGCGGTTTGGGACGAGGGATATCTCGTAGTGCCGAGGCAGTTGATGTTCGGGGCGGTGCATTCAACAGCGCCACGGCAAGGTTACTCCAAGCCTCTGCATCCGTCTCCTCCAGCTGAACCGTCCTTGTGAACGAATCAATTGCATCCTCCCACTTCTCGAGCTCGAGTTGGATACACCCAATAGCAAACCAGGATGCATGGTTGAGCCTGGTCACCACCAGACTGAGCTTGTACGCTTCTTCCGCCTTGACTAGGTTCGGTGGCTTTTCCTGCATGTACAGTCTAGCCAGCGAGCGTTGGGCGCGTGCATACCGCTTATTGGATACTGTCCAGGCTCGCTCGTACATCGCTGCATCCCGGTCGATGTCTCCTAGTATGCAGAACAGTCGTGGTGCGTCTGGCGGTAACGTAGATAGCTCCGCACCTTGCCATGTGTCGTCGTCCGCTGTGGAATCGGGGTTGGTGCGTTGGTAAAGCTGTTTCCGGACCATGAGTTTGGCAGTTTCTTCTCTATCGGTCGCGGCATAGCAGAGTGCGGCTTCAGCCCACATTTGTAGGCGTTCGTAGATATCTAGCGCTGTGCGAAGGGCGCCGAGACCGACCCATCGCTGCGCCAATTCGGACTCGAGGTTCCAGCGTGTAGAAAAGTTGAGGAGCCAGATATATTGCAGTCTTTCGGCTGCGGGGGCTGATTCAGATGCTTCTAGTCGAGGTAAGAAGGTAGTTGGCTGCTGCGTGGATGGTTCTGCGGTTTCTCCTGATACGGCGGGAGTAGGGGTATCACTTGCTGTGTCGGCGATGACTTGGTCTACTAGCGCCTGGAGCTGAAGTACAGAACGCTCGACGGTTCGGGTACGATATCCTTCTATCCTGGACCGAACGAGTAGAGCCTGCGAGTAGACCTGCCAGTTTGAACTGCCGCCTTCAAGAACTCGTACGGCATAGGGGATGGTTTCTTCACGAGTCAGGCCGTCTTCAGGGGAAGTGTTTGTGATTGCGGACGCGAGAGAGAGCAAGATAATGGAGTCCAGAGGGTTGAGACGAGGTTGGTTTGCGGCGTCTAGAGAGGCCAGGCTGGCTGGTAGATTGGAGCTATCCCTAACGTCCACGGCGGCAGCGGCATCTTGCTTGAACGCAATGGACTCCAGAAGCGTATCGTCGTTGAGCTCAAGGTTCTTCGGCTCAACTGCTTCGTCGTTTTTCGCCTTTTCAGCCTCGCTTGAATCACGCGTATCGGTCTCCTTGCTTCGGGCCAAAACAACCAGCTGACTTATATCTCTGTCCTGGAACTTGGTGCGACGGCCTAACTTGCCCGTCAACGCGAATTCAAACCCGTTCACACCCGCCGCACGTAACAGGTCTTCCCTCGCTTTCCCATCGAGTCCGTGGTGCGTATACATCACTGCACGCTCAAGCATGAACCGCACTTTCTCGCCCGCACTCACTGCATCTCCAGCGGATCCGGCCAGTATTAGACCTGCAACCCGCTCAATGTCGGCATTTATATCAGCCCATAACCCATCAGCGTTCTCGCCCAGCATCTTCTGATGCATGAAGTTCACTCTCATCCGCCCCGTGAGACCCAATATGTCGTCCGCATGCTCTATCTGTCCAGACACAATAGCCGAATGGTTAAATATCGATTTTGCAAGGACGAACAGCTCCACGGCTGGAATGCGCTTGTATACCGCTTCTCCGTCCACGCAGAGCTCGCGAATCATGCTCTCCCGCAACGCGCTGGCCGATCCTAGCTGGGGTAAAATGCTGATTCCCGCCCCGCCATTGAGTGGTGGACCCGTGACGTTGGATTGTAGGAACGCATATAGCGCTGCGTAGGCTGTGTGAAGGGCTCTCGACCTGTTCGCGGGATCCGTGGACAGTGCTGAGATGCGGTCTGATACCAGCTTTGCAAACGAGGGGTCGTCGGCTACGGCGTTGGCTTGTTCGTCTGGTATTATGCTGTGCGCGAACGGGTGGGAGAGGATGGCTATGCATTCTTGCTCTGTGGGATGCAGGGAGTCGTAGGCTGGTCGCGGGGTATTTTCGGCGCGGGGTGAGAAGAGAGTATCGTATGTTGGCGGTAGGGAGGGCGCCATGGTGCTTAGAAAGGGGCTAAGCTGGCTTTAAATTTTATGGGGTTGTTATTCCATGGGCGTGTGTGTGTGTGTATATGTTGTGTGAGTTAATTGGTGATGTTGATGCGCTCGAGGAGGATGAAAATTTAGAGTTTTAGGGTTTTCAGTTGAGCCCCACTGATTGATAAGATTGATAGGAACTACATAGGAAGAAGTGGAGGATCAGGTAGAATGAAACAACAATCAAGTGCATTCTAAGTACTATCTATCTCTCTATCCCCTTGGTCATCTATCTCAGTCGTCTATCTCTATCCTCTAGAGTCCAATCTAGTCAGTCATCACCCACCCGCGAGACGAGATAAGAAAGGTAGGAAATAGAGGGTTGTGAATAGGAAAAGAAAGAAATAAATGAAATATGAAATTGTTCGTTTGATTTTCTTCTATGAAAGGAAGTTTGAAGTAATCAAAGAAAAGAATTAATCTCATCAATCAAAGGAAAAGAGACATCAAGAGAGAAACATGAAATAAAATCCCATCCGCATCCATCCAATGACGCCGGGTAAAAAAGCAAGTTTTTCAAAAAGCAAGAATCGATTAGTGCGGAGGGAAAGGAAAAGGGGCGGGACATGATGCAAGCATTAAACAGTGACATGAAAAGAAAGAAAAAAAAATTCAAAAGTCAATCATCGACATGAAGAGAAGGGGAAAAAAAAGACTTTTTTTATCACGTTCTTTTCTTTCGTTTCTTTTTTTGGTGTGGGTGTAGTTATCGCCTCCGACCGTCTATGATATGCAGGAAACAACAGAGATTGAAACGAAGTGTAAAGGTAAAAACTTTTACTCGTCGTCCTCGTCGCTGAAGACCTCCTCGCCTCTCTTGCGGCGGGCCATGCGGTCCTTCTTCTTCTTGCGGAGTTCAGAAGAAGTAAGCTTCTTGGCCTTCTTGGTGGCGGCAATCTTGTTGCCCATGGCGTCGAACTTCTCCTCCTCGTCGTCACCCTTGTCGGTGAGACGGGGGCCGGAACCCTGGCCCTGAACCCAGTTGTGGCCGGAAGGAGTCATCTTGCCGTCGACGACGGCCCAGACTTCGTTGGTGAGGTTCTCGGTAAATTCCTTGGAGTGGGTGATGATGATGACACCACCCTCGAAGGACTTGAGGGCCTTGGAGAGGGCGCCGAGAGAGTCACGGTCGAGATAGTTGGTTGGCTCGTCGAGGACGATCAGGTGAGGGCGTTGCCAGGAGCAGGCGGCGAGGACGACCTTGACACGCTGACCGCCAGAGAGACCGCGCATGCGCGAGTGGGAGACGAGTTCGGCGTCGAGGCCGAAGAAGCTGCAGTGGGTCTCGATCTCCTTGCGGACGAGGGGGCGGAACTGACCGGAGGCGAGGGCCTCCTTCTGGTCGACTTCGGCGACCATCTTGGCGTGGGAGGCGAGGATCTCGTTACGGGGGATCCAGGCGTTGTCGGCGGTCATCATGGGAGTCCACTTCTCGTTCTTCATGCCGACGTTCTCACCAAGGGTGAAGGAGCACTCGTACTCGTAGGAGTTCTTGAACTTGCGGCGGGAGTGGATGCCGATGACACGACGCTGGGTGCCGTCGATGCGGTAGATCTTGTCCATGGCCTTCTCGTCCTCGTCGGTGACGATCTTGTTGGCGCGGTCCATGGTTTCGCGGTCCTCACCGGTGGCGAAACGCCACTGGATGTACTCGGAGGGGGTCTTGTCGAGGTGGTTATCGATGTGGGCGAAGGCGTGCTGCTTGATGTAGGCGATACGGATGTTCTCGTGCTGGTAGACCTCACCGGTGGTAGGGATGAGCTCACCGGTCAGGACGTTGACGAGAGTGGACTTGCCGGCACCGTTGGGGCCGATGACGGCGATACGGGAGCCGAGCGAGCACTGGAAGGTGATGTCGCTGATCTGAGGCTTGGAGGTGCCCGGGTACTGGAAGGACATCTTGTTGACACGGACGATGGCCTTGGCCTTGGTCTTGACACCCTCGAGGAAGCCAGGCTCGGGGAACTTGAACTCCATCTCGGAGGCTCCGAGCTCAAAGTAGGAGCGGGCGGAGGGGACACGCTTGACGAGGGCGGTGAGGTCACCACGGTAGCGGCGAAGCTTGAAGCGGTCGTAGAGGATGACATGCTGGATGACGTTGTTGAGGAACTTGGAGTCGTGGGAGACGATGATGGAGGTGCAGGGGGAGTTGACGAGGTACTGCTCGAGCCAGGCGACGTTCTTGACGTCGAGATGGTTGGTGGGCTCGTCGAGCAGGAGGATGTCTGGCTTCTCGAAGACGGCACGGGCGAGGGCGAGCTTCATCTTCCAGCCACCGGAGAGCGAGGTGATGGGGCTCTCGAGCTGCTCACGGACGAAGCCGAACTCGACGAGCTGCTCCTGGATGGCGGAGAGCTCGGTGGTGATGCCGACATCGCGGAGCTTCTTCTCGGTCCAGCCGATGACGGTCTGCTCGGTATCGGCGGCGTCGAGGTCGTGCTCGACGAAGACGGTCTTGACCTCGTCCTTCTTGGGGAAGCCCTCGACCTGCTCGTTGTTGATGGCACGCATGAGGGTGGACTTGCCGGAGCCGTTGGGGCCCAGGAGACCGTAGCGCTGGCCGCGCTTAAGACGGAGGTGGGTCTGGTTGAGCAGGATCTTGGCACCGTAGGCGAGGTTGAAGGTGCAGTTGCAGAGATCCTCACCTTCTTCCTCGTCGGGCTCGACCTCGGCCTCGTCAGCGGCAGCGGGAGAGGCACGCTTGCGGAGGGTGTCGGCCATGGAGCGGGCCTCTTCCTCGCCGACGATGACGGTGAGGTAGGCGAGGATGTTCTCAGTCCAGTCGGCAACGTCGACGACCTTTTCGTCGATGAGCTGGCCGGCAATGGCGGCGATGTATTCAATAGTAGCAGCAGCAGGCTCGATCTGGGCCTTGTACTTGGGCTCGAGCATCTCGCGGAGGATGGCGGAGACGGTCTCGATGTCACCGGCCTTGGAGACCTCGGGGATCTTGCCATCCACGACGGCACCGACACGGATCAGGGTGTCGAGACCCTGCTTGGTCTTCTCACGGGCCTCGGGGTCGGCGAGGGTGTCGTAGTTCTTGTTGAGGGCGGGCATGAGCTTAGGCAAGAAAGCAGCGACGATCTGGGGGTCCTCGACGAGCTTGCACATGTTGTCGACGATGACGGCGGATTTACGCTTGATGGCGGTCTCACGCTCGGCCAGACCACGGTCGAGCAAGGGGACCATGATGGCCAAGGTAGGCTCGTGGACGTCGGTGACGAAGGTGGTAGCACCGAGCAGGTGAACGGTCTCGGGGACGTTCTCCGGCTTGGCGATACACTTGATGAGCTCGGGGATGAAGCGCTCGATGTCCTTGTTGGAGATGAGGGCGCAGACCTTCTCCATGGTGGCGTAGGCGGCCTTCTTGACCTCGGGCTTGGTGTCCCACATGGACTCTGAGACGACGGGAATGAGGTCGGGGACACGGGTGGCGAGCTGGGTGGGAGCGGACTCGACGAGGGCCTCGATACAGGCGAGGCCGGTCATCTTCTCGGCCCACTTCTGGGCGGTCAGGATGGACTTGACGATGGCGGGAAGGGCGGCCTTGACGGCGTTGGCGTTGATGGACTTGACGATGGCGAGAGCGGCCTGCTGGGCCAGCTCCTTGACGGAGTTCATCTTGTCGCTGACGGCCGCGAGGGTGGGGCCCAGCAGGGCGAGGATGTAGGGCTCCATGGCCGGGGAGACGGAGGAGTGCTGTGCGATGGCGAGGATGGCGTCCAGCGCCTTTTCACGGGCATGGGTATCTTTTTTGTTTCCAAGCTGCTTCTTCAAGCTCTCGACGGCCCTACAACCTGTTAGCCTGGGATTCTATCGTAGTATAGTATGGATTGGAGTCCAGTCGTAAGGGGGAATACCTAGCAGGGACGACATGCTCCTCGGTTGGCCCGTTGAGGAGCGATGCGATGTTGGCTGCAGCAGCCTTGGCCTCGTCGGCGGACTTGGAGAGCGAGAGGCTCTTGAGGAGCTCGTCGAGGACGGCGACCGACTTGGCGGCTTCTTTGGCCGACTGAGCGGGCGTCGAGTCTGCAACGGCGACTGCAGGCATCGTGGGAGCTGAAGCTGGAGCTGGAGCTGGAGGTTGAGGAGTCTGGGACGACGTGGTGAAGGTGACCAGGCCGGCAGCTGAGACGAGCCGCCGTCAGCTAGCGAGTAGAATGGATGAATCTAGGATTCAGAGTAAATAAGTAGAGATGAGACGATTCCAGAGGAGACTAAAGAGAAGAGAAGACGAGATGAGGTTGTGATGTTGAGGTTGAGGTTGAGGTTGAGGTTGAAAGCGAAGAGGTCGAAGTCGCTTTTTAACTGCAGGAAAAGAAGAAGAAAAAATTTTCACCCTCGGAGGCTGCTTATGTCAGCTGTTGAAATTTTCACAAAGCGAGCGTCTTTAAGGTTTTACGCCGGGGATGGCCTAAAGAGAAGCTCTGATTGGCTGAAAGTGGATTAGTCATGTATTGGTACAGGGAGTGACAAGACAGTACCAAAAGCGACCGAGAGTGACCCCGCGGCAGAAAACTCACCGCCCGCCGCACGCAAAGAGGGTCCTTGCCTCTTTAAGAAAGTGACTAAGAAGTGACTAAGCAGGGAAGTTACCCCAGATGCCAAGACAGGCTAAACCAGAAGAGGAAAGCCATCTCGTGCCGCTTTTTAGACTAAGAAGAAGAAGAAGAAGAAAAGTAGAGAAAAGTAGATGAAAGTAGATGAAAGTAGATGAAAGTAAAGGAGAAAAGACGATCAGGAGAAGAAGGTCGAGTGGCGGTGAAGGAAGAGAGAGTGATAGTGAAGAGTGAGGGTGATAGTAAGGGTGGGTGGGGAGTGAATAGGGGATGGTGATAGAGAGGGAGAGAGGAGGCTGTCCTGATGTGCTGCTGATGCTGATGCTGCTGCCGCTTCTTACTATGGCTCGTCCTGCTTCTTCTGTCTACTCGCGCGACTTGCAGCATCTTCGCCTGCCTTCCTTTGCCCTCGCCGGGTCTCTCACCAACAACTCTTCTGCTAATACTTCTGCTAATCATAATAACACTTCTAATAATGACTCGACAGTGACCTCCATCTCAGGCCTGCTCAGGACCGCCGAAGACCAGCCAGACCAGCCAGACTCAGACACAAGACAGACAGTAACCATCACCAATAAGAATGAGAAGAAGAAGGATAAAAAGAATACAAAAGTAGACCTGCTCAACGCCCTGATAGCCGTCCTGACGCTGGCCCTGCTCGTCCTGCTCGTCCTCAGCTGCGTCGTGGCTCTCGGCGGATTCAACCATCCGTCTTCTTCTTCTTCTCCTCCTACAGGCACACAAACAGCTACAGCTTCATCAGGCATCGACATCTCGCCTGGCGGGCCGGATGAGCCGACAACAACACCAACAACTTCTGCAGCTACTGCTACAGCTACCACGGAACACGAGAGAGAGAAGCTCTCGGCCCTGATTCCCTTTCTCACCTTTGCGGCCGGCAAGACGCTGACGATGGACGGGCCAGACGCTGCTCAGACAGCAGGCTAACAGATACAACTGCTGTGTTTTGTTTTGCGTACCCCATGGGGTTCGTGTTGGGCTGGACCGAAGGATGGGCTGGGGCTGGGGACAAGGCTGGTATCGACTCCCTGCAGATGGATTAATTTTATTAGGATTAGGATTGATTATTGGGATCAGAATTTTATCCGGTTTGCCCCTTACATGGAACTGGTGACTGGTCGAAGGCGAAAAAGAAAAGAGTGGAGAGTGAAAAGTTTGATCGCTGCGTCGCACAGGGCTGACCGGATATTACTTTTGATTTACTTGATGTGTATCAGTGGCACCGAGGTCAGTCGACGAGGTCAGTCGACGAGGTCAGACTCATACCCAAGTACGTTCATTAACTTATTCTCGCAAACCATACACTTTTACCATACTGCTCAATAGAAAGCACATTCCATTGGCCTATAACACTTTGCTACCTTGAATACCCTTTGCCTTGGTCATGCTAGAGACAAGGTTAGGGTAGTCATTTCACTCCCATCGCGCAAGCAGAGTGCCACATCATTTGGCCAAAGTCGCATTTGTTCTATAGCCCAATGCACAGTCTCCAATAAACACCGAAGCTTCTTGAGTCAACGCTTTGAGCCAATTGAGATCACCAGAAGTAAGAAGGTCAAGTTTCCCAATACTCTCGCTCATCGAGCTCTGCATTTTGGACTAGCATATGCTCAAACTGGGGTTACCAACCGCCTGACCTCTTTCTCGGGACATCACTGAAAGCCTCCATTTCCCGTTGAACAAAGTAAAATAGTCTGGAACATCTATCACTGAGCTCCTTAATGAGCTGGATATCGCAGTGTTCAAAGGCACGCAAACTGGGGCTCATAGCTACCCACAGTCTCCCACGATGAACGGCAGTGGGCTGTATTAACCTCTTGGCCCAAATGAAACACTCATAGTAATAAAAAGCCAGGGGCAGGTGCGTGCCTTTACTGGAGCTGTATCCGGCTTCCCCCTTTTAGCTCGGAAATCGGAGGTTTTATCCCCTGCCTAATAGGCTATATGCAACCCCCTCATATAGGCACTTCAGCTACCACTTTCCAATACACAAAACAGATGCCAAACCTATAAAACTTGCAAATTGTAATCTCGCGGTCCCCAGAGATCAGAGGAAGCAAGCTAATTTGCAATAGTTCCGAGACGAAATTGGTGGGGTCGTGCCAAGCCTACCCGGCAGCAATCAATAACCTTATTACAGTTAGGGTTTTAAAGTTAGACTTGCCGTCCTCCGTCCGGAGTCACGAACCGCTGGACTACGTCAAGTGACACTGTGACTCTTGAAAACTAACCACGCAAGCAAACTTCTCCTGAGCTCCTTTTCTAATTGCAACGTCCCCCTACTCAAATCATATGCTGTCTTTCTTTGTAAGAAAATATCGAGGCTACGCGTTGATGGCCACGCCTGAAGAGCGGTTGCTGTGGCTCAATGCCGCCTCCATTGTTGATGAGAAGCTGCACGGGGTATGTATATCTGGCTTCATTACTTCTTCATCATGTCTGTATCCGATCTGATTGTTCCCTCAGGCTCTTCTAGACGTAGTTTCTACCCAGGGTCGCTACCTTAAGCCCCGTTCTGATACCCCCGTATGCGAAAGAATATACGATCCTCTATTTATTAAGAAATTCGGATCTCGCCTTAATGGCTTGCTCTTTAATTAAAGACTGCGACGCCGCAAATATGGCAATGATGCTGAAGAGTGGCCCCCAAGCCACACCCCAGTTGAGCTTAAAGAGCGGTGGCAGGCGGAGCAGGAGGCGGAGGATAGGAGGATATAAGCTGTTCTTGAAATTCCCATACCCGAGCATGAGCCTCCAGGAGCTCCTCCTATAATTACCAAAAAGAGGGTCCCAGATGATACCCCGTCCAGCCATTGCCTCAAACCCGCTTTTCCCGGCAACTTTACCACAAAAATACAATCGCCCCTCTTCCTCATGCAGTTCGCTTCATGATCACAAACATATGCGTCCGTGTATATCTTATGCGTCGCCGGAATGTATTCCCAGCAAGTCGCTAGATATACTGTTGAATTCCCCCAAAGCGCCGTCGCGAAAAGCTTCCCGTTCTTGGATTCCGCCTCAGTTGCATTCTACTTCCCCCGCGTCACCCGGAGAAGCAGTCAACTACAACCATCTCGATATACAGGTACTAAGGAAAAGAGAGAGCATACGGTGCTCAGTAGTAATTAGGGAGCAAGACATCGGAAAACAAGTAAGTCTACTAGACAATTTAAACCTTTTATGGCTAAAATGGCTTAGATCACGCCAACTCTGATTCCTGTCGCCCGAAGCTTGGTACTATTTCCGTTTTGAGAAGAACGGGATGATTGTTGACACATCGAGAGATCCAGAAAAGTTATATAACCCAATTATTAAAGCGTACGAGGATGCGATATCTCGACTTGAAAGTAGATAGGCTCCTCCTACTACAGCGAAACATGAACAATATATCAGGCTCTACGAGGAGAGCTGTAAAGAAATTTCGAAAGGTGGCCCGCCTATATGGTTCTAAAGAAGCCGATCGCCGCCAAAGGACCGTCTTTCCCTGCTTTTCGCCATACACTACATGAGACATGCGCATTTTTGTGTACCTAGTAGAAACATGTAATTATTAATTCCTCCTGTAGTTTCAACAGCAAGTGATAATAGGCGTGATGGCCCAGGAGATAAGGCTCGAAATATCCTGCCAGTATTGGATGTCCCAACGCGGATTCGAAGGGAAAGAATAGTAATACCGCCTCGAAGGGTACTACGGATAGTCTATCCCGGATTTATAAATTAGGGAGAAGAGATTATAGCTTACGGGAACCGACAAGGTGCCGTGGTTAGAGATAATAACGGGTCCTACTATTTTCTCACAGTCATAGAGGCCGGTGGGAGGGTAGTTATCGACGCTATAGTCGGTTTACCCCCTATTAATCTAGATAGAACTATCGATATTGAGAGGGTGAGCAAATACACTATTAAGGGGGTCGCGGTTAGTATATGGGATATATATAGTAATAGGCTCCCTAAGATAATATATATCTTCTGCTATATTGAAGGTCAAACGCACTTCAGGGCTTTTATGCCCCTTAGTGCTCTAAAGAGGGTTCTCGATTTAGTAGTAGAGCGGATGGTTGTAGAAAGCCTTATAGAGAATGATACATTAACCTTGGAGGAGGCTTTGGAGGCTATTTTCGATATTATTTACGAGGAGTGTGAGGCATATTGGTAGGCTTAATTCTGTTAGTTATCATTTAGATGATATTCTAAGGGAAAGGCCGTAAATGGCTGGCTTTGAACGAGCCCGTCTCATATGAAATTAGAAAAATACTTTACAAATTGTGATGGGTAAAAGAAAATAATCCCGATCAGCTCCAACCACGAATAACTTTAAACAAGCTTTAGTTCATGGAGTAATGGTTATTGATTCTGGACGGGTTGAGGTTATTAAGTCCCTGAAGCGAAAGACTGATGTAGTGCTAGCGGAAATGCCTAGAAGGAGGACCAAGGTGGTAGTGTGAAGATATGAGATAGCGGAAGTTTCTCCGCAAGCACAGGGCAAGAGTTTTTTATGTTATCCATCTCCTTATGTTTCCATTACTTCATTTGTTATATAAACTAGTTACAAGAATATAACCTAAACTTAACATCGTAACTAGTTATTCCGCTGTGCTTCGCTTCGCTCTAGTAATAACTAGCGATGTAACTAGTAGATAAATAAGCTACTGCCACTTAATAATAGTGTGGCATAAGTATACGGGAAAGAATAAACGAGGGACGTGGAGTATTCTGATTGGAGATTCTTATAAAACAAAGGTATTTGGCTGATTTCGCGCGCATTCACGAAGCTGTATGTTGATAAAGCGGCCATATTCTCATACTAGAGTTGGGGAGGAATCCAGATATCCACTTGACTCTTGTAGGTACTTTATTAGAGATACTCGAGTCGAGTGAAGTAGAAATCTAACATTAACGCCTATGTATGATGATGCTGTAGACTGGCTTGCTTTTTACGTCTTATCCTTCTTTTTTTCTTTTTATACTTCTACTCATCGTCAACTCGCACCTCTACCACCGCCGGGCAGTCGTCAAAGTCATTCCGCATGGCAGGGCTGCTGCCATGGCCGTGGCCACCATGTGCATGCTCCTCGTCCACGATGCTGGAGAATACCATGCCCGTCTCGTCGGCATCTGGGTCGGCGTCTGCATCCAGCTCAAATGACCGGTCTAGCTCGCTCAGGTCGCCTTCCCCCCTCTCCGCCTGCGTGCTAGCCACATCATCCCCTTCTCCGTCGTCTGCATAGCTGGATCCCGGCGGAGGGAAGACGCGCGGTATCTCGTCCTCGCCGTAGCCGTGGTTGGCCAGTCGGTCGTACGACCAGCTCGGCTGCTGGGCGTACATCGCGCTGCCGGCGTGGAACCGCACACTGCTGAACCCTTCATCCCCTTCCTCCTCCTCTTCTTCGTCGTCTTCATCAGGCCCGGCTTCTCCACTGCCTGTAACTTCCACCTCTTCATCTGTTGGCAAACCACCATCTCCCGACTGGCGAGTTGCTGCGGCTCCGTGTAAAGCGCCCGACGACCCATTGCGGGAGAGCCCACCGAGGCGCTTGCCTTCCCCCGATCCACTGCCGCCGCCACCACCGCAGATTCCACTTCCACTGGCCCCGTTGCCGGAGCCGCTCTCGCTGCCGGAGTCGTCGCTCGTCCGGTCGTGCGCTTGCTCTGTCAGCCGCGCCAAAAAGGAGCCGCCCAGCGGGACGTCCGAGCGCCGGCGGTAAAAGAGCAAATAAGCGGCGCTTGTCACGACGCTGCTCGGATCGCGCTTCATGGTCACGTGGGAGTCTACATCATCAGCATACATACATATAAAACATATAAGTAGAGTAAAGTAGATAAAGACTCACCGTTAAATTCGTACCACAGGCCGTCGACAAAGTTGCGGGCATAGGCAGTGTAGTGGCCGCCGCCCAGGCCGCCATAGTGGTTGTCCACCGCAATCAGGTCGTACACCATGCTTTCCCCTTCCTCCACCATCTGCACCCGTCCGCTCATGTCCAGCTCTAGCGGGAAGTCCACCACAGCGTCGATCTTGTCCCGGAAGATCCGGTTGGCGCTGAACCGCTTCAGATGCATCACTAGGATGTCCGGCGCCTTCCACAGCTCAAACTTCTTGCTCGCCCGCCGGTGCTCCTTGCAACGGGGACAGTACCACGCATCGTTCTCAGACAGGATCTCCTCCCGCCCAAACTCGTCCAGGCATTCGTCCAGCGTGATCCCGCGTTTCTTCTTGCGAGACCGCAGCTGCCGCTTGCTCGTCACCTCCGGGTCGACCACGTCCGACACGTTCGTCCACGTCGGTCGTCCGCGCAGCCCACCATCTCCTCCTCCGTTATCGTGGTCGCCGTACAGCTCGTCCTCGTCGCCAAACACCCCGTCGTACGTCTCCTCGTTCCAGTCGAGCACAATCACATCGCCCGGCTTGACGTACGGCAAGCGTCGCTGCACTGGCTTCTTGGCCGCCTTCTGCTTGCCGCTGCTGCTGCGTGCCTTGCCTGGCCGCAGCAGGCTTGTTGCACCGGCCATCCGGTCGGAGTCCGTCTCCGACCCGCTGTCGTCCTTGGTCTCCGCAGAGCTCGAGTTGGTCGACATCTCGTCGTCTGCTGCAACCGCTGCCCGTGTCCTCATCACGTTCACGGGTTGTGCAGGTCCACTTAGCTCGTCGTCGCTGCTGGCCACGCTCTCCACGTCTGCCCGGCGTCCAAACACGGTTTTGCCTGCTCCACCGCCGTTGCTGCTCCTACTGCTGCTCTTCCCGTCGGGCACACGGGACAGCATCAAGGGGTACTCGCGGGCCTCGTTGGTGATCGAGAAGCCAGTCGGCTCGCTGTCGTTCGTGGCAATGTACCGTACATCAAACAGATTGCGGAGCATCGGCGGGATGAAGCTTCCGGGCCTTAAGACAGGTGCAAGATCTTCATCATCTGCTCCCTTCTTGTTGTTGTTGTTGGATCCTGCTGCAGCCTCGTCTTGATCGGCATCTCGCATGGACACATCCACCAGCCCGTCTTCTCCCTCCACGGAACTGGCCTTGATCGTCTGTCCGTATGCCTGCGTGTCGTCCTCGTTCATCACAACAGTGTCAGAGTCTTCCCCGGCCTGCTGCGCTCTCGTCACACCCAGCCCATCATCTTCTCGCAGTATGTCACGCGTCGTCAGGTTGGCCACCCGTGCGAGGATCCGTCGCAGCACCGCATCGTAGTCATACGCTTCCTCACGTGAAATCACAACGTACATCGGCACGCCAAAGAACGCCCGCTGCGGCTGGCCGTACCCGCGCCGCACTCGCCCGCGATTGAGGATTGGTACCAGCATCCGATCTGCCTTGGGCGAATTGAACCCGGCTGCAGGCTCCTCGGACGAGAAGCGGAAGCGCCGTGGCTTGTCCGGGTTGTAGCTTGTCGGCACGCTGTCAAGTTCGTACATCGCGATAGTGTCCCCTTCGCTGATCTGGTGGTCGGCTATGCTCTGGCTGTGGTCAAACAACTTGTAGAACTTGTGCTTGTAGATCTCGGCCATCACCAGCCTGTCAGCGTTCACGTTCATCTTCTTTGCAATGAACTGCTTTACCGCCTTGATGCCCGAGTTCTTGTCTATGTCCACGTCGATGTTCACCGGCGGCTTGTGCAGCGGGAAGAACATGATCTTGTGGCTCCAGCTGTTCTCAATCGGAATCTGCAGCGTCAGGTTGTTGAACGGGTCGAAGATGATGCTGACTTTGTCGCATTCCGGACACACTACAGTGGACTTGTACATTCCCGAAAACAAATCGGTAATCACACTGTCGTTCCGGGCCTTGTAGATCTCCCAGCAGCGGTCCGCAAAGCGTTGGAGCGCCACTTTATCATGGACCATCTCGTCGGTGGAATCGGGCTTCTCAATGTATGGCTTCTTTTGAATACGGTTCAAATCCTCCTGCAGTCCGTCCAGGAGGAAGAGCAGGAATTCCTGGGAGTCCTGCTGTCCATAGCCAGAAAACGAAGGGCCGTATCTGCCAATGGTAACCTTGAAGTTCCGGGGAGCAAACGAAGCTGAGCCCTGAACATCGAATATCTGATGCAGCAGATTTGCATACGCCTTGGCAACATCTCCGTTGTGAGACAAGGGGTTGTTCGGGTTCAGGTCTTTCTTGTACTCGCCCACTACATCTAGTTAGCAGAGAACATTGCAAGGGACTTTTTTTATATATGTTCAAGTAGACCTACTCAAAAAGTAATGAGACAACTCCTCAACACTGCGGACACACTGAAGCGCCGAGTTCATGTAGCATGTGTTGCCTAGGTTGCTTAGACCGGTCACTCCTCGAGCTTTGCCGTCCTTGCGCCGTCGTCCTCGGGTGACGATTGAAGGAGCAGGCGATGTCCGTCCACTACCCGAAGAGCTTTTGTTTTTCAGCCTGTTTTGGACATTGGCTTTGGTGCCGGCTCCGACAGTCAGGTTGGTGCTCGACTTGGTTGTTTCGGACAGCCATTCTCCGCCTGCTGGACCGCCAACCTGCTCCTCCAAGACAATAACGTTGTCACTTCCTAGACCGATAACATGTATAGACGCTCTGCCGTTGTACTTTGCATTCGCCGTATGGTCTTGGACATCCACAAGCTCTCGCTGGGATCCCTCAGTCAGACCTACGAACGCTTCCAGGCCCAGGGAGATGGAGGTGGGAATCTTTGTCGAGACGGTAGTTCCCGGTGCTGGGGATGCACTTCTTGACGCAGCCGGGGTTACGTTGGCGGAACTGGCGAGTCCTTCGAGGATTCTCCAGACCCGAGTCTTGGTTGACATGTTGATGGACGCCAGGGTCTTTGCAGTCTTGAGCCATTGCTGGAAAGGGGTATGTCTGCTGGCCAAGAATCTGACGGGCGGTTTGGACTTCTCTGCCTCGGACGGGTTTGGGGACAGTTTCAAGATGGAGAAAATGGGAGGATTGAGCTCGTACTGGATGTGCTCCATGTCTCCCTCCGTGTTGGTGTTGTGTGCGTACCGAACGATGGCGGGGGATTGGTTCGATAGGCCGTACCATTTCATCACCAAGTTCCAGGCTTCCTCTGGCAAGATCTCGTAGTCCTCACCCATCTGGAGGCCGGGACGCATGGGAACGAATGGCTCACCCGCTTCATCGTTGAAGATGGTATCCGGATCAGTAACGAGGACAAGGTCTGAATTGTCGACGGGTCCAATCTCCCCCTCAGCAGCCAGCTTGTCCGCTTTATCCGGCCGTGGATGGGTAGAGCTTCTGGAGAGAACTCGCTTCAGCCAGGTACCAGAAACAATGTAGCCCTTTTGCTTGTCGATGGGGCTCTGCTGCATCAACTGCATGACCTGGGCGACTTGCTCGTCGATGGAGGGGTTATCGTCGTGGGAGGCATGGGTTTGCGCGCTGCTGGATGACGGGGTGTAGCTGGTCGGGTCAGTTCCAGAGCTGCTGGTTTCGGAAGCGTGCTTTCGGCCTCCCTTGGATGGCTCGGATTCAGTCTCCTTTCCAACCATGTCAACAGAGGCATCACGCTGGTGCCGGTTCAGACGCTCGGCTTGCTTTTTGCTTCCTACTATCTTGTTGCTGCTCATTTCAGTCTCTTCCTGAGACCCTAACGAAGGAGAATCAGTCTGCATCACGGTATCGTGTTCGTCAGAGCCCATCTCGGCAGCCGGTCTCTTGATGGCCGGTGGAGCAGTGTGAGAGTTGCCGTTGTCTAGAGAACCACCGACACCGCTGCTGCTGCTGCTGCTGCTGTCTACCATGGAAACATCCTCCTTCGGGGGATCACTGGCGGCAGCGGCGGACTGGCCGGCCGCTCGGTTGTTATTAGACGATGACATGGGCCAACAGGTGGTGTCTTGGGTCGACTCGCCGTCCGTAACGGTCGGAGAGCTCGTTGCCGTGGTCGATCTCCAGTCTTCGGTGGACGACTGTTCGTTTGCGCTTCCGTGCGAGGAGTCTACCTGCAGGGACCGGGCGGGCGACAGTCTCGGCGAGGAGGGCGAGGACGGCTCGGTGAAGAAGCCACGCTGCGGCAGTGCAGACAGGGCAGATGTAGACACAGACTGGCCGTACCGTTTTCCTATCTTTGGCTTCCGGGGAGGGGAGGTTTTGAGGAAGTATAAGCCCTTGTTGCCTCCAGCTTTGCGAAGCTCTGCGGCAACCTTGCGTCGCTTTGATGAAGGCGTGGTGAAGGTGAGCTGCCCACTAACCAGTGGCAGCTCTGGAATCGACGGTGAAGTATTTTTTTTTTTTTTTTTTTTTTTTTTTTTCTGGTTTCTTCTCTTCTATATTCTTCCCTTGTGTGTCTGGGATTCACATCCGAGTGAAGACCGAGCAGCCGCTTTGCCTGGCGGTGGTCACCTAGCAGTTACATAACGCAGATATATCAGCGGATGCAGGGGGCGAAAAAGAGAGGCCGGTCTCCCGCACAGAGGGCAGCAGGAGAGCCGGGGAGCGTCCTTACAGTCTTGAGCGTCGGGTCTGGGGAGGCAGACGGCCCTGCTGAGCGAGCGGATGCCCTCTTCGTGGTGCTTGAAGCCTCTGGCGGGTGTGGCGACGGTGCCTGTAACTATACACCGGCTCGTCGGCGGACGCTGGACAGGCCGCCGCAAGCAGAACAGGCGCGAGAAAAAAGGAGAAAAGACAGGCGGGACGGGGGACACGGCGGCGGGCTCGACGCAGCGCTCTCTCGCTCTCTCGCGTCCTTCAGGCTGAGGTTTCGCTTCTCTTCTCTTTCGTCGGCTTCGATGTTTTCTGGTGCTTTTTTCGACCTCGAAGTCGCTGGAGTCGCTGGAGCCGCTGGGGAGTTTGCGTTTTTTCGCGCCTGGTCACGTGGTGGACTTTACTCAGACGGAGATGAAGACAAGAATATAAGAAGAGAATAGGAAGAGATCGGATGGAGTAGAAGAGGTGAAGAAGAGTAGAAGAGACGAGCAGCATATGCACAGCTTTGACGGGAATAAGTATACAGTAACCAATTTTCAATGTCCTATTATTATTGCCCTGTCCTCTCCGTACGCTAAAGATGAAGAATAACATGCATGCATGGCTTTGTCTGTGCCAGAGAAATGCGCTACCGCACAGCGATCTTGTCGACTTCGTCCCGAGCCTCTGTCCATGTCTCGAGACTCTTGCGTGCCCAGTCAAGATGGCATCGTGCATAGGCAACCTGCAGGGAGTCAGCATCATGCAAAAAGGACGTATAATATAATGGCTGTCCAGTACATACCATGTAGCTGCGGAGGTCGTCTTCCTTCTCCTTTTGAAAGCGTTTGAGATCACGCAGGACACCGCTGCTGGCATCCTTGACGTCTTGCTCGGATACCTTTAGAGCTTGCTCGAGCTAGACAAAGTGTGAGAAATAAAGGAACCTGGCCGAGGGTGTTGACGTCTTTAACGTACCTGTGTTAGACTTTCCCTTGTCTTGCCGATTTGGTCTCGACGTGTCCGCTCGGGATCAACGTCTGCAAAGCCATGGATGGCATGACTGATGCGTCCGAATATCTTGTTGGTCACAAAGTTGCCGCTTGAGGACTTGCGGTGGCCGCTGGGTGTTGAGTCTACGGGCCGGTGGGGGAGGCCCTGCGAGGCTGACGGTCTATGAACTGGCTCGCCATGAGTCGGCGGGAAGTCGGAGTCAATAGAGGCAGTGTCCTCCGCATTGGCTGGGGGAGACTCTGGTGCTGGCTCGGGGTTGCTGCCCGACGAGGCCTCCGACAGAGACCGGCCCGGTCGTGTCTTGGGAGACGAGCCAGTGCTGCTCTTGTTTAGGTATTCCTCGATACGCTGTGCTTCTATCTCACTTCGCTCAAGGGAGTCCAGTAGCGCGCTCTTCTTGTTCAGCTCATCTCGTGTCATCTCCTGCTGGATCCGCTTCAGGATCCGGTACCGAAGGACGCCTCTGACAACACCTGCAAATTGGGCACTCTCCCGCATCGGCTCTGAGAAAGTAGCTCCCAGGGTGGAAGAAAGCTCCTCCGTCTCGATGTACGAGTTGTCTGCGGCTTGGCCGACTCTCTCGATGGCTGCAGCAACAGTTGGCGATTGCTCTGAAAGGGCAAATCCGTTGTATCTGGCACCAAGCTCCATGAGGTCTGATGAAAGAGCAGTCAGGTGTGTAAGCGTCCGTCTGTTCACTTTCTCAACGCTTCCCTGCAGCAGCAGTTCTAGCTCTCTGGTGGAAGCTTCGAAGTTTACAAAGTATGGATCTAGCTCATGTTCGCTGAGCGTCTTGGAGGTCGGCGGGAATCTATTCATGAATGACGATGCTCCAGCCGAGGAGGCGGGAATATCTGAGGCTGTGGGCTTCAGTTTTGCTGAAGACGACGGGACAGGAAGCCAGTTATGAGCTGGTGTCGGATTAGCCGGGTCTAGCGGAGGAGCTTTGAGGTTGTTCTTAGGAACTGAAGCAGCCGGGTGTGAGTTCAGTACCTCGCCCTGGGGCAAGTCGTCAGCATATAATGACTAGAAGCACCTATACCCGCTGGATACCTACCCAGCTAGCATTGGGGTCCAGAAACCTCCACCAGACCCCATCTTCGCGGATTTCACTCATTCTCCGGCATCGGTTCAGAAACACCGCCAGCATCCGTTTCCGTAGTTCAATAATCGCCGTATCTTCCTTGGCCTTGGTAGGTTTGGCCGCATAATCTGCCATGGTGTGCTTCTCTGGGATGGGAGGGATGATGAGAGTAGGATGAAGGTTGACCAGCGCTGTGCGAAGGGAGCTGAACTCGGAATATCGGCGTCTCACCTCGAGGTCCTAGTTCGGCTATTAGCTGGAAATGCATATGGAGTAACGATATATCAAAATCAGATGCGCACCCCGGTTCTGATGGTATATACTATAAAACTGCCGCCGGTCTCGCTGTTCTTCCCAGCATCAGTAATGAGAATAGGCAATTCGGGATTCTCATATAGAATCTGCTCTATTCTGCTATCGTATATCCCCTTCTTGCGCTGGTAGGGCTGCTGTTGGCCACCGTACTCGTTCTGGTCCTCATCGTCGTCTAGATCGGGTGTGTCTGTCCGCGTTACAAAGTCCGGCGGGTCTCGAGTAGAAGACCTTGACGAGGCCGAGGATACTGGACGCTCTTCATACGCAGCTATAGCAAGAGAGCCAAAGGCCGTCAGTAAGCCTGTTTCTGTAGAGTTGCTAAGGCGAGGTCAGTCTTACGAGGAGCCATTGCGGCGGGGTGAAAGGACCCTCCAAGGGGATCCTCGTTGCGGTCCAGCGCTCCGTACGGATTGTTGTCTTCATCGTTCCACATCTTGAAGGCCGACGGCGGTATTTATATGGCCGGTGTATCGATGGCTGGCGGGCTGGAAGGCGCAGTACAGGCAGCCGTGATAATAAGCAGCCGGCAGTTAGCTGGCTGGCTGGGGCGGGAGTCGCGGGGGCTGTCGCAAAGCGAGATATTCAATGCGGCGCTTCTATTGAAATGCCAGCGAGACGCTTGAATATATAGGCTGATGGCCAGGTGACGGTGGGAGGATGTAGGCTAGCGGTTATGGGCATCCAGCCAGTCGTCTTAAGCAATGCACGTCTGGCATCAACAGGGTGGAAGTTGACGCTCTTGGCGCGCGGCTCCCCATGACATCACCAGCAAGCATAGACGCGGGAGGCGAAAGGAGGCGCCAGCAAGGGCGGCGGCGGAGGAGGATACAGCGAGCAGCAAACATGGACAAGAGATACAGTGTCTAGCAGTCTATCTGAGTCTATGGATAAGGATACCTTTGTCTAGATGCCCGTCACGAACTCCTTTCTGGTGTTTCTGGCGCTTGCTTTGGCCTCGCCGCAGCGTTCGAGCGGCCCCTGAGAGCTGCTCTGGCAGAGGATGGATACCCCGAAGCCGCTCTACGACGGGCCTCGCGTCTTCTCTCTCTTCTTCTCTTTAGCCGCAGGTTGGCTCTGTCGAGTGATTCGTTAGGCGTGCTGTTTTCTAACTGGTCTGCATCATCGCCCGCTTTGTCCGGCGTGTCCTGGTTCTCAGTCGGCTGTTGCTTCCTGGTCGTCTTTTTAGGCGTTTCTACCGCCCCCTTCATCAGAAATTTATCCTCCTCTGTCTCTTCTTCCATTTGCTTGGGCTTGACTGGCTTTGTCCTCCGTCTCTTTCGTGGTGGAGATGTGTTGTCTGGTCCGGAGCGCTTTTTCGAATGGCGACGTCTTCCTCGGCTCCTTGACTTTAATGCCCGTCTCTCCTTTCGTTTCCTTTCGCGACGACGTTGCCAGAGAAAAGTACCCAGGCCAAAGAAGAAGAGGAACAGCAGCAGGGAAGCCGCGAGGACTCCTCCTTGCTGCGCTGATGTCCACGAATTCCAGTCTGTGGAAGACTCCCGCGGTGCCAGGGATAGAATCGGCGGTGTCTCGTTTCGATACTGCCTTAGAAGAACTGCCGGCATCTTGGCTGGTTTGTGTTCTCGCGGCGATTTCTTTGCTAGAATCGAACTGATGTTAGCACCCTTGAGCTCTCCATGGCAAAATATGAGACAGATCTTTTACCGAGGAGTTGTGTTCAGCAAAGCGATGCATAGAAGACGAGTGTAGACGTAATATTAGACAGTTCTATGAAGGGTAGAAGGAGTGAATGGTACTTGATTGTGTGTATCAACTCATATTAGAGGACAAACAAGCCGTTTTGTGGATGACAGACAATTGAGATGCCCGTAGAGTAGACGCTTCAAAGGAGTTTCATCAAGTCTGCCAATGTTTGTTGTTTGGACAGAAACGGGTATCTTCCTTCATATCCCTTTGAACATCAAAACACACCAAAGAAAGCACAATGTTTGTACGTCATCTCCACGTCCCCCTGGAAATACAACCGCTCCAACTATTTAAGCTCAACTTCAATAGCCAACCGGGTCCTATCCCAACGTCTAATACCGATAGCTGTAATGCATGGCCCCCTTTTAACATGCTACATGTGCTGGCTGAGGCTGTTGAATAGGTTGAGGAGCACGATATTGAACCGGCTGGTGACGGCAGCTTCGATGTGCGGCCATCATGGCACTGAGCTCGGCAAGCTGCTCAGCTTGCTGGATCTCCTGCGCAACGCGAGCGGCTTCTTCTTCTTGGGCTTCCTGCCGCATCCTTGATAGAAGAATTCCATGTCTGATAGCCTCCAGGATGCGTCTGCCAATTTTCCAAATTATGAGAATCATCACAGGAGTCATCAGAAGAAGGACAACTATCACGTAGTTTTCCGTCATTTTGGAAGACCTTGTCTGCTTCATGTTAAGCAGTCAGTTTAGCTTTGGCTTGTGGTTAGATTGAAGGAGACCTACCGGTTGGTAAAAGAGGTAAAACTGCTGCTACTTATGAACGCTCTGGAGAGATCTTCTTTTGGCCTTGAGGTTAGCCGATGCTAAGGATAGGATGTACGGTTTACCTTACCAGAGGTAGATAGTCGATAGATCAGGTCCTTGTAGTAGATGAATATCAAAGGACAGGTGTTAGAGAAAAATGAGAATAAATATTCTATCAGGATATTCATGCTGTTGACGCCGCCTGTATACCTATAACATAGCATCGCCGCGGCAACACAGTGGTTGCGCATGTTTCTATGATGAAGTTGTCCTAAACTCTGCCAACAAAGCCTCTAGAAGGGATCCCCAAGCTGGATTCAACTCTGAGGTGTATGTGCAGGTATAAAGAGCCTGGAGCTTGTTGGTTAGTTTTATAGTGTTGACATCTATAGAAACTGATCTATGTGTGAGTAGAAGCATCTTTGCTCCATAAAGAGTGCGAATACCAGTCACAAAGATATCCATATTTGATGTCCAGCCCAGCAAAGAGTCCTTGGGTTTGTCTGCTGCCAGTTGGATTAGAGAATCCAGACCATCCATCACCCATGTGCTGAAATGCTTATATAGAGAGCAGTTGATGGCGGCCTTTTCAAGTTGGACAAGATGCTGGCTCCATAACTTGATCTCCCTAACTTCATCAATATAAAGATTTTGCTTCTCCTCCGCGAACAACGGTGTTGATTCATTGATAGCCTTGTTTAGCGTCTCAGCCACAGGGACAAATAGTCGTTGCTGACCAGGCTCTCCAAGGAAACGTTGAAGAGCACCTTCAAATACTTGGTTGGACCCCCGGTATTGGCGGGTTAACAAATCTGCGATGGCAGAGGCAGAGGCAGCAGGAAGCCGGAAAACCGTCAAGTCATCCGCGAGAGCTTTGGAAGCTACAAGAGTAGCTGCCTCTCGGATTTCAACATCATCATCATTGAGCATGTCGTACAGCACAAACATGACATCAATGAGTATCGGTGTTTCGGAAAATCGTAGCTTTGCAGCTCTTAGGCCTATAACCAAGGAATTTAAAGAGGTTACAGCCACAAATCTCGTCGTAAACACCTAATTAGCGGTTAGAATCACGTTTCTATTTAACAATATGTAAATTTGACTCACTGTCTCATCCCGCATTGAAGCTGATAGTTGCTGTACAAGCTTATTGAAACGTTCTACAACGGTAGAGTCGGAGCTTAGAATGTTGGGGTTTTGCCTGATATGTAATGAAAGTAGACATCCTTGAAGACGGATGGTGGCATCGGTCATTTTGCGGCCCCATAGAGGTTCACCGGGGCTCTCTGAAATGGGGAGCGTAGATGACCATGATACCAGGAAGTCGAGTTCGCTGAAAGCCGCATGGCTTTCTTCTGCATTTTCCTGAATTGCTTCAAGCTCATCCGAAAGGCTCGATATAGCAGTTAACCTAGTATCCTTCGAAGGGCCGTCTGTAATGATGCGGCAATACAGCTTTAGCCGGTCACTACGAGAGCTCATGTGACCGAATGAAGCTATGGAAAAGCGCTGGAGTATGGATGCAGCAACATCAACGTCAACGGTTGAGACAGTTTGGATGAACTGAGCCAAATCGTCAATTGGCGATTTGAGCAGGGCGCCTGTCATTAAATAGCTAAAGGCGATACTCTCTAGAAGGAGGGATGACGATCGTTCCATTGGAGAGCCAGGTTTTGGGTTAGAGATGATATTTTGATAGTGTTTATCCAGATGTAAGCTCGTTGATATGGCATCGAAATGGTCGACAATAGTATCTAGAGTTACAGGTCAGCCAGGAACAAAGACAGAAATACATAATGCGCTTTACCTTCAGTTCCTTTTGACATTCCACTCTGTAAGAGGTCGTTGATAATCTCAACGAGTTCCCTCAAGGTAAAAGGAGACGATACATGACGTCCTAAATTGGTGAACACTGGTCTAGTGGTGGAGACGATGGCAGGAAGTAATGCTAAAAGACATTTAGCGTTATGTATATCAAATAGTGTCATGGATCGCTTACATTGATAGTACGCTACAGGCGCAGCACATATGCGTCGAAGCAGATATTTGATGCATAAACCTATTCCGTGTAGCTGGTTCTGGCCATGTATCGATGTCTCAGATAATTTCAATATGACCGAAAGTATATCGTCTCTGTCGACGAGAGTGGCATATGTTCTTGCAGCATGATCACGAATACCCCATACAGGGCTGTCGAACTGCCATGAAACTGATTCTAGAATGCGCTCATCTTCACTTGAAGCAGGAGAGGGGAACTTGTTTCCGATAAGTTCCAAGGCAGGGAATACTCTTTCAGTGGTAATCGATAGCTGCTCTGACAAAGTATTATCAGAGGAACCTTTTGCCGCCCCCTTTTCAAGAAGACCGGTAAGAAGTGGTATCAGGCCAGGGAATCTCTGAAAAGGAATGAGTTGCCTCGGTTCAGAGTCATTAGGGACACCAAATCCCAGGTTAACTCCGTTCGTTCGTCGACACATTCGTTGAACCAACGACCGAAATAACATTAGACCACAGTTCCGAATAGCCCATCTAAAATTGATTAATAACTAACCCATTGATGACAGTGGGGGCTAAGGAGAAGGGGCTTACATTTCAGAACCGAGACATTCAGCAGAGATACTTAGTGCCGGCATCAAGTGCTCTTCTGTCACAGTGGCTAGATTTGTTGCAGTGAATATGTCTTTTAAGCAGTTCATGGCGTGGACCTGTGGAAGTCTCACATCCACCTGTTCCGAGACGGAAGTGGGTGGAACTTTTGCGATGTCCTGGAGCTTTTCCATAATTTCATGGAAGAACGGCCGCTTTGCAGACGATGCTACGCCCAGAGCTAACGCAGGAAGCCCTGCGGACCGACGGGTAAGCTTTGCCGATTGACCATAGATAGTGCTCAATATTTCCTATCAGATACGTTAATAATACGTTGTATATGGCGCCCTTATGAGCTAAATTCCCTTACCTTAAACCAAGTTTGAGGAAGTTCTGCAACGGCATTGTCCTTCGAAACACTACATCTCTGGCAACAAGAGACAAATGTTTGGGAGACTGCGCTGAATGCACCCCGATGGCGTAGTTCTGCTAGCTGGGAAAATGTAAGGCTGCCAATCCTTGCAAACTCATCATAGTTCAGACCCTCCCGAGTCCCCAAAGGAGCAAATGAGGTATTTGATAGGATAGCATTCAAAAGTAAGCTAACGGCAGTCAGTATGTCGTCCATAGTGAATATTTAGTACACACAAATCATACCTAGATTCACGGAGAGCACGCCAACAGCAAGATAGAATGTCTTTAGGGCCTAATAGATCAACGGAAGAATTTCCATGCTCCCTTTCGGGAGAATCAACACATAGTACTGCCTGAACATCTGACCACATTGTTTCACAGAGAAGGAGAGTCCGGTTCAGTGCATGCCTCCAAGCCGGCTCGGAGTCATTATCAGATGATATGATTGAATGGAAATTAGGGCTTGCCATTATGTATCTGAGAATGGTGAATAGCTATACGGTGGTAGTATCGGAAACTGGGAGTACGAACCTTAGTGCGGATAAATGGCCATGGATAGGAGTATTACGCAATGTCGTTATATCAGATAATGATGTGACCTTTTCTAGTTTGGTGAGAATTGAATCAACTATATCATACTTATAGTCGTAAACGATTATTTTTTGCCCAGAACAACGCCCGGTGTCAGCCAGGTCAAATAAGAAATGATAGATGCGGGCTACGCCATCAGCATGATCAGCTCTGCTTGTTTGGCCTGCCATCTCCTCTGCCCGGGCTAGGGAATCCAGTAGTTGGCTATAAGGATGGCGACGTGTCCTTCCAGAATCAGTGTCGGCAATATTTTGGGGCCTAAGGAAGGAGGCCGGGAATAACCCAAGTAATGTGAGGGAGGTCATTCGGATTTCTTCATAAGGATTGGTTAGTAAATCCCCTAGTGCCCTGAAAAGGCTAAGTGTAAATATGTCCCTGGAAAACGGCCAATTTCTTTGGTCGCTACCAATTTTTGAGAGCTTCGCGGGATCGATTCTGGGGTCAAGGCCGGATTGGATAATCGTTGCTAATGCTTTCAAAGCAAGAATGTGCGTTTGATAAGAAGCGTTTGGTCTAAGTTCGGATTGTAGGAAATCTATATACCAAGATACAAATGATTGTGCATCAAGGTGTGCAGACCCCTGTTCTGTCGCATTCTCTCCTGGAGCTAGCGAGCAGGTTGATGAGCCGCCTCTGAGCCGAACAGTAAATTTCCGGATCAGGCTAACAAGCTCACTTCGGACGTGAGCATCTGCTTCAGCGTGGATGAAAGGAAGCATTTCTTTAAGGATCAGTAGAGCATCGGAAGAGAAAGGTTTGGTAGTAGATGGTGCAGATATCAACAAGGATAGGACCCGCACTCTGATTTTAGCATTTGAATGTATTAAAAGGAGCCGTAGCTTTTGGCTTTCAAGGACTAGAAGTTTGTCAGGGGATAATGAATTGGGAGCTTCTATGCTTGGGTTAGACGGATGATATAACGAGTCGCAGGGGTGAATGATGATACTCACTATCTTCATGAACCAGTCCTAGCTCCTTTCCTGTTTCGAGAACGGCAATAAGAAGTGCAAACTCAGCAGTGCCAGTCTCGCCGTAGTTTTCTGATAGCAAATCTTTGAGAGGCAGAACGTCAAGGAAAGACGAAAATTCAGCTGGCTGGCCCCTGAAAAGTAAATGAAAAGCGAGGCTTATAGTAGCATCGAGGTTGTCAAGGTTCCGAAGTGATAAATACTTGAGGGGAGCAGCCCAAAACGGAGCACCGTGCCCTGGAGTAGAATACTGGAACGGACCGTTTTCAGACTCCTTTTTCAGCTTGAAACATAGTTGAGATAGAAGGGCGCCGGAAGAAGTGACTACATTCGCATTTTGAAGATGTAGTAAGAGAACTAGACATAATAGCTGTGCAGTTATCGTTCCCTGCTCCTCCACGGAGGCTGAAGGTGCTCTGCCTGTAAAAGTAGAGACGTCGAGCCCAATGTTAGTCGCATGCTCACCTATAGCTGGAGTCCAGCTGTTGACATTGGCTTGAAGCCATCTCTGTAAATGAGCGACTAGATCTACAGCAGGGAAAGCCTCCTTTCGAATAAGAAAGTGAAGAGAAACCACTGATGCCTTTAGCCTGGTCAAGGGTTCGGCTAGTAATATAGTCTTCACCACTGAGTCAATCAAATAAGAGCGGATAGAGCCTGCGGTGTCCGGATCGGAGTGAGTAGCCAGAATATTTGTGAGAGTGGCTAGGATCTGCTTCATGGGCTTTGGTGGGCTATACTCGAACCGATCGAGGTATACCTCAAATACGGCAAGCCAGGTTTTTTCAGATCGAGCAAACTTGCACACCTCTAAGCCTTTTGCCGTGATTGCAGCCTCTAGAAATGCACATATAGCATTGCACACGGAAGCCTGGTGGGGTATAGGGAGTGTTGTGTCCTGCAGCGTATGAAAGAGACATCTCCACAGAGAAAGTGATTTTCTAGGAACAAATTAACAGCCAATCTTGAACACGTATTCTTGCCTGGTCCAGATTATATCTCACTCATAATTCCCAGGTTCTAGTAGCAGCCGTTTCAGCGGGCCTTGAGTAAGGGTTCTCAAGTCTGATTCTGGTATAATTTTTGGGGCCTCCTTGGCTGTTGAAATATATTCATCAAGGTCCAGTCTGCTCCTCACAGGCAATATCTTTTCTTTCGGGCCACAATCAGCCATCATAGAGCCCATCTTCCCTTTCATCTGTCAAATATCAAATTTCATGCTGCTTTTTTTGATGCTTTTTATTTTTATTTTTTATTTTTTATCTTTTTTTTTTTTTTAATCGCGATAAGATCACGTGACTTAGTTTGGTCGGCGACTCACGTGACTGTATCTCGACTTTTTTTTCTCTCTCGCTTTTTGACGAAGAAACGGAAGAAACGGACAGAGAAGAAGCACATTCGACGAGCAATTCCACCAGTTCACCAGCTAATAGGAGCGCGGCCTGCGCAGAGACGTTGTTTTATCTTTCATTATTGTATTATTTTTTCAAAATAACTTTTAATTCACATCCGCAGCCATGTCTATCTGGGACTCCCTCTCAGGCCGGAAGAAGACGACCGGAACCGCTGAATTCGATCCAAGCTCCGCTACAGATGTCAGCTCGTTTCTCTCCAGCACTGCCATCCCTGACCCATCAGAACTGCATCCTCTCGCTGGCCTGAACAAAGACACCCTCGATTATCTGACCCTCGAAGACTCGGCGTTGAGCGACCTCCCTGGCTCCCAATCTGCTCTGCCATCGAGAGGGTGGTCCGATGATCTCAGCTACGGTACTGGAACAACATATCTCATTGCTCTTACAACAGGAGGTGCCTGGGGTCTCATTGAAGGATTGAAGAGATCGCCAGCTTCCGCTTCGCCGAAGCTGCGTCTTAACAGCGTGCTTAACTCGGTGACCCGGCGAGGCCCGTTCTTGGGTAACTCTGCAGGCGTTGTTGCGTTGGTATATAACGGTGTTAACTCGACGATTGGCCATATGAGAGGAAAGCATGATGCGGCGAACAGCATTGCTGCTGGAGCTTTGAGCGGCATGCTTTTCAAGAGCACCAGGGGGGTTCGGCCGATGATGATTTCTGGAGCCATTGTAGCTAGCATTGCTGGTGCCTGGACTGTATGTTCTCGTCTAACTGCTGGTATATCGGAAACGTCTCATTCTAACGTGCTTTTGAATAGCTATCTCGACGTATCTTCTTCTCCTGAGCTCGGGAGGGATTGACGAAATGCGCCCTCCCACATGCCATATAATATATGCCCCAATATCTAAACGACCATCTGTTTCCTTGCCGTACGATAATCCATTCGACAGCCGAACCGAGCAATGCATGATATATCATGAATATCATGCGATACAAAGCCATACTCTCCAGCTACCTCTTCGCCCAACTTTTTTCTCTATCTTCCACCCCTCCCCCCCTTGTATTACCATATTTCAGTTCCGAGCGCATGGCAGATCCATTTCCACTCTGGCGTGTGTGGGCGGTATTCAACTTTTAGTATTTTCCTCTCTTTTTATAAAAACGGAAATGTGGTTTAATGCGTGGTTGGTTTGTACATATAGAGGCATTTTTCCTTTTCTTCTTGTCCTGTTTACGGCGCCGGCCAGTTGGTTGGGCCGCTCCTTGTGTCTTGATATACAAAATATATACATTTCCTCAGGGTTATTCTTGGAAGGAACCAACTGTCTCCAACAATCATCTTCGAGCTTTCCTTGTCGCGTTACTCATGAAGGTGCCGCCTTCCCAAGTCTAGTCTGCGCTTTCCCCAGGCATTTGCCGTGTCCAAAAAAGTGCAACTGATTTTAATCAATAGTCAATAGCAACAATCACGGGCAGCTTCATCAATAAGAGGCTGATTTCGGAATAAACATGCTGACGAGAACTTCACGACCACTTACCAAGGCCCCCGAGCCAGACAAGCGGCCAACCGTCAGAAACATGATCAAATGGCTCTGGCATGATGGGTTTTACAAGGGAGTCGTTGGCTGGAGAGGCAACGTGGAGCTAGGAGATATCAGTCTGCCAACTGAGGCGTTTAATTCGCAAATGAAACGGTACAATGAGCCGCGACTTGAAGACTTTGACCAAGTGGCAGCGTGTTTTAAAGACGAGTCGTGCCCCCCAAACTTTGTGGAAGAGATGATAGAGAAGCACAGCGAGCTGATCCCGAGAGCAGTGAAGAAGATCAACAAGCAACTTTTACATGCTGGAGTCTCCGGGGAAGAGGTCGACAGGCTGGGCAAAGGACACGACGCGGGGAAGAAAGAGGCATATGCAAAGCTTGACAGGCTGGTTGAGGCCAAACGGAAGATACAACCCGAAGAGAGGGTATATCGGGTAGTGTTTGGCAAGGTGGATGGTAGATGGCTGAGCCAGGAGGTCCCAGTGGATGCTAACTGCACTCTGGCTGAATTCGACAGCAAGACACGGGAGTATAGTCTGGCTTCATGCGAGGGCAGCGGAGTTGATGCTATGGTTGGCAATGGCATACCAAGGATGAACAAGAGGCGAAGCGAGAGTCAATGGCTCTACAAGCTTGTACCAGCCGGCCAGAGCGTGGTCAAGCAGACTGAGGAAGGCTGGAAGAGACTTGAGACGCCGCAACACTTTGAACGCTTGAAGGAGAGGCAAGTCCAGCACAGGCCCGTGACAGTCCTGATGTGTCGTGTAGGTTTCCTACAGCGCAAAAAAATACTGGAAGAAAAGCATGATTCGAAGAGACTGACGGGGTATATATTGTGATAGGAAGAGATGCTGCACCATCTGATGCTGGTAGCAGATCCAGCGCCCGAGACGAAGCTCAAGACGCAGCCCGAGCCGTACAGAAGAATCCTGCTTGGAACCCAGAGTGGCGAGATCGCGGGAGACCAGGAGGAGATCTTCCGCGTCGAAGCCGAGACGGAGGCCTGGGCAGCAGAGCATGGCTACGAGCACGTCGACAGGTCTCCCATCTACGCTCTGCACCCTTGCCTAAAGAACTGAACCATGGCAATAGCCGCTGTTGGATGATAATAAAAAAAAAAAAAAAAAAAAAAAAGGTGAAAAATAAGAAATAAAAATAAAGTATTTAAGGTTTCGCGGCTATTTTAAACCTTAAAAACTTTATATCTTCAGGGGCGAAAAAAAGACGAGAAAAAAAAAAAGGACGGCAGAGAAAAGAAACGAGAGAAACGGAAAAGGAGAGACAAAAGAAAAGAGAGAGAGAGAGAGAGGCATGACTGGAGAGGCAGAAAGACGGCAATGCAGCTGTAGCTGCTGGACTCCTTTTGTGGAGGACCCCTTGCCTGGTTTCTCTGGCCCAGCAGGGATGCAACAGTGTCAGTAGTAAGTGAAAGAGGCAGAGAGGGTGGAATTAGTTAGGGTTAGCTAGCCAAAAGTATTAATATTGTTAATATGGGGTCAACCAGGGAAAAAAGAGTAAAAGTAGGTTAAGCAGACTTTTAACAGAGGATGCCTTGTGATCTTACCTGCTGTGCTATAGCAATACGAATGATGTGCAGAAATGCCTCTGCTGCAGCCAGGCATCCTATCACAACTAGCGCCTCCGCGCCTTTCCTGTGGCTGAGGACAGTTAAGAAGGGAGAGAAAAAACTCCTCTGCCCCTCTGGAGAAGAGTCCTGCTCTCTCTGGCCTCTACCGTGAACCAACCCTTCTCGCAGGCCTCTGCCCGCCAGTCCTGCTGCTCGCGCCAGTGACAGAGCCCTCCAGCAGAGCCCTCCACGCCGCTGAATGCCATCCTCCACCTCCATGGTAGAGCCTCGCGGCTGTCCAGAGCAGGCTGAGCCCGAAGACTTCCCGCCGTCGCATCCGGGCCTTCGTGACTCGGGCATCGCGACCTCGCCCACTGCGCTGCCCTTCATCCCTCACCTGGCGCTGCAGACATGTCCGCCGGCCAGCGGCGATGCCAGCGCGTCTGCACCAGGCCAGCAGCAGCACCACCACCACCACCACGGCCAGCAGGGCCAGCAGGGCCAGCAGACGCCATTGGCGCCGATAGTTGACTCGAGCCCAGTGACGCCACGGACGCCGGTGCTGCTGCAGCTGCGTACTGACATTCCATCTGTCCACCAGCCGCCCCAGTATCTCCATCAACCCGTATCTCAAGACCAGCAGCGTCACTCACAGCAGCAGCAGCAACCGCCGCCGCAGCAGCAGCACCTGCAGAGCCCGCAGGCCGCCGGGTTCGACCAGTATCTCCATCTGAGCCGGTCGACGGCCAGCTTGCCACGCAGAATCCCCAGCATCCGCCATGCGCTGGCCGAAGTGCACTCGAGTGCCGGCTCTCTCTCGCCTGGCTCTGCCTTCTCATCGCCCCAGCTCGCCGGGCTCAGCGATCTCACTCCGCTGCCCTCGCCCATACAGCTGTTGGCCTCGCCTCCATGGGGATCGACCAGCACCTTTTCGCTGTCCCGCGTCTCCTCAACAGCCTCCAGCCGCGAGCTGCATCTCCCCCCGCCGTTGACAACTGCCCGTCCGAGACCGGTCCAGCCAGCATCCGCCTCGACATCTAGTGCTACGCCAGTCTCCCCAGAGACCGCTACCAACCCGTCTCAGCTCGCGGCCCCCAAGCGTGACCACAGACATACCCGCAACCGCAGCCTGAGCGAGTATGTCCCACCAGCTCTCCAGGTCCACCCTCCAACCCGCAAGGCCGCTGCGTCTGAGGCGGCCTCTAGGGCCCGGGACAGGGACGCATCGAGGGATGGACGACCCGGTCTGAATATACAGAGGGAGCAATACTTGGCTGCCCAGCGTGGCATAGCTGTCCTGCCACCGCCGCTTCCTACGCCCACGTCTGCACTGGAGCCGTCTGATTTTGGTGTACTTGATAGTGAAGTCTACGAAGTTCAGTCAATTCGGTCCAAGCAGCCTCGCAGATACCGCTGGCAAAGACTCCTGGGCCAGGGAGCCTTCAGCCAGGTTGTCCTGGCAGCCAGGGAGGAGGACGGAGCAGCTAATCCCCAGACTCGCCGTCTCGTGGCCGTCAAGATTGTTGAGTACGGACCGGCCGGAGGAGCGGACGAGGAGCGTGTCGAAGTCTCGCTCAATCGGGAAGTTGAGATTCTCAAATCCATCGATCATCCGTCCATCGTCCAGCTGAAAGCCTTTGGAAGTGACCCGAAACGAGCCCTCCTGGTCCTCGACTACTGCCCTGGAGGTGACCTGTTTGAATTCGCCAGCATGCGGATGAAGCGGATTAATCCTCCGCTGATCGAGAGAATCTTCTCCGAGCTCGTCGATGCAGTCAGATATCTCCACAGAAATCACATTGTCCACCGTGATATCAAGTTGGAAAGTGAGTTTTTCTTCATTCATCACTAAAGACGTACTGGATGTGTACGGTTACTGACTTACATAGATGCCCTGTTGAACATGCCATTTGCAAAAATGCAGGAAATTACCGACTGGCGGCTCTATCCTCGTGCACTCATAACGCTGACGGACCTGGGGCTCTCACGACGCATCCCACAGCCCCCTGAGAGTCCTCTACTACGCACCCGCTGCGGTAGTGAAGACTACGCTGCCCCTGAAATCCTAATGGGCCAACCATACGACGGCCGCTCAACTGACGCGTGGGCCCTTGGCGTTCTCCTCTATGCCATCATGGAAAATCGTCTACCATTCGACCCTCTGCCTGGCACTAGGGGAGACCCAGCTAAACTTCGGGCTCGTACTCCACACCGTATCGCCCGTTGTGAATGGAGTTGGTACCGTTATGCTGATCCGGACGGGGACTGGGACCCAGTCAAAGGGAGAGACCTCGAGGGGCCCCGGCGCTGCGTCGAGGGTCTTTTGAAACGTGGAAGTAAACGTATGCATCTTGACGAAGTCGCTGATATGGAATGGATTAAGAATGCTATTGCGGCCGATGTCCTGCCTCTGAGACGCGGTGACGCTGAAGTTCCTTGAACGAACGGACGGGCTTGAGATGGGTAAATATTTTCTTTTACTTTCTTTTCACTTCGTTTCTTCTTCTTCTAACTACTTTGTACAACTGGTTTGAAACCTCCTTTCGCTTTATTCTTTTATTTCTCCTTTTCACTTCTTCTTTACCCCCTTTTTTCTTTACTTCTTTTACTTTACTTCGCTTCACTTTTCACTTCTTTTCTTCGGCATGTTTTGATATGACGCTCGCTGTATTTCTTATACCTCTTTGCCCTTACTTTTACCTTTACCCCCTTTTCTTTCAACTTGCTCACTATCATGTTCTGCCCCTTTTGTCCAGATAATTACCACGAAGCAATGCATCACTCGCTTCATAAGCGTCTGTAAAATAGTTTATATGTACTATAAAGTAAATAATATTAATATCAAGAGACTTGCGTTCTGTGTGTTTTATGCTAATCATATATTATATTAATCATGTATAGACACGGTCAATGGAAGTATTCCTGTAAATGAGAGCTTCTCAGACTAAATAACTAGCTAGTCCGTTTTGCAATGGTAGGCCTGGGCAAGCTATGCTAACTTGAGGCTTGGACCAGAGGCTTGGGCCGGGGAGATGACCTTGCATCGGACCGTCCCGTAACCTTGGAACTTTAATGTCCAACGGTTCCGAGTTAATGAGGCTCAACTAAACCGTTGCTTGCCTGACCTCCAACGTTACCAAGGACATATAATTTAGCGCAATTTGTTCAATTTAGCAGGATGAAAAAGCAGTACTATAATAAAGCTGACAAGCTACTGCACTATCCTACGGCCATCGTTAAAACCCGTCTACTCCTTCAATAGATCCGTATCATCTCCAAAGCATCGAGTGCGTAGCGCCTCAATCTTTCGAAGAACCTCCGGCGACTTGAACACATATCTCTCAATTATGCCGGGTTCCACTCTACTTCCAAAGTACGGATGGAAGTCCGGTAAGCGGCTAACCATTGAGGACTCGTTGATGGGTGATTCTACCCACGTCGAGGTAGGTTCGATGTCGCTGCTTAAACTATCCTTCTTACCATCTCGTTCACCAGGGCGTTCTGTGACATCGATACCTTGCTCCGAGGCTCGCTTGTCTATGTCAGTAAGATAGAAAGGATTCGCGTTCTTCGTAGCTGCAAGACGAATACGCCAGTGTGGTACAGGATTGATAGATTGATATGTATCTTTATAATCGCAGAAGATGCATGCGATTGCAATCTGCTCCTGCATTGACGGACACTTTTTAGCGAGAGCCTCGAGACATTTTCGATGGGGTTTGAGAGGCCACCAAATGAGATATGGTTTGCCCTCCATCTCGTCGTGAAAGCCAGAGATATCGTTTATCATGATCCGGCGGGCATTGATGGCCGACCTTATTCTCCAGACGTCTTGCTTCGGAATGCGGCTTGCATTCACCTCAAGTTGGTCCATCCACCACCGTGCAAACATGGTATTATGATATATGCCGCGGGTAACGCATGTTACTTCCGAGTATGTCATTTCCTGGGGGTCCATCAGTCTGTGGTACCGATCTATGCTGCCCTCGTATGCTGCCATGTCTCTCAGGAGTTCTTTCTTCACCGTTGGAATATCAGCTGGAAGAGGTTGGTAGAACCATTTGGCTTCTTCGGCAGATAGATACTTGTATTGATCATCCAAGTAAGCAGCCGCTACATCGAGCCTGTTGTCTTCTTCAATATCTTGATCTCCCTGGTCATATTCTCCGTCTTCCAGCAGATCCCCACGGGGTTCTACTTTCCACCGCACAGCGGTGTCTCCGTTCAGATAGGCTGGAAACCGTGGATTGTCGACATTGACGCCACGAGTGGTGTCATCTAACACCGCATACTTAATAGGTGATTCCAGTATCAGGCGGTAGATCTCACGGCCACCATCAGTTCCACTTTCCCGCGCCTCTTCAGCAATAGACACTTCAGGACGTAGCTTGAAATCTATATTAATGTCAGCTCTGCAACTAATAAGACAGAAAATATATGAAGAGACTACCGACTCACCCTTAACGAGCTCTTTATACAGATCGGCATATCCAGCAGCACCACAAGCCCGGCCAACCTGGTACAACATAGCAGGATACCGATGTACTAGTTTGCGATAGGTATCTACAGAGGCAAAATCTGGAATCCATATGCAGTACGGCTGCACTCTTGGATCCTCCATTCCTTCGGGGATGACATTGCTCATTATCAGCCGTGCGTTGCGTGCGCGGGCAAATTGGGGTATGGCCAGGTCGTTGCATATACGGCTCACTTCAGGGCTTGTTGCATATTCGTAGGAAGTTCGTATTCCTCGAACGACGCACCATCGAGCAGTCTTGGAGGAGAGATCCTTGGGCACGCCTTCAGCCTGCAAGGCGGCTACGCACTGTCTGTAGCTGTATGGGCGTCCATCCAAATCCGAATATGGCTCTGACTCTGGCTCCGACTGGTTGGTATCATCTGGAGTCTCAACGGGCTGTGTTATCTCCGGCATGTTTGGCTTCTCTAGTTCATCTGAAATTTGTATTTCTGGCTCCGGACCTAATCCTTCAGGTAGAAACGCTCTTCCCCCGTACTTGATTCCACTGTTTTGGCGAAGGGGTAGGGTAAGTAGTTGTATCAAGGTATAGCTTAACTACGCTCACAGTATTATGACTAAGTAAGCAACACAATTCTTCAGCGTATGATTGCTTCCATATATATTTATTTACTTAGGCCTCAAGGTAGTAACCAACTAGCATTTCAAGTCATTAATATAGTTAATAAAGATGATCTTATAACAAACTTGCAGGGTTAAATAAGAATTTCAGGCATGAAAGCGGGGCCGTTAATGGCGTAATATACAGTTAGCTAGTTACTCTTAAGATATGTTTGCTGTATCCACCATAAAGCCAGCTAACTACGGAGTACTTCGATCTTCCCTTCTCCTCCGTACGCGGACTAGAGGTGTAACTTGCGGTCAGCCTCCATCCAAGACTGTAAGAGGCGGCGGTGCGTGAATGCTCCGGGTCCGAATTCCACCTTTCCCTGATGATTAGGATCCCCAAAGTGCACGATCCAGTCACCGAAATCATCAGCGTTCTTGAAGCCAAGCCCCCTAAGTTTTCCCTTATTGGCGTCGAAGGTGTCTCTGATACGGAATTCGGGGTATCTAGACCCGAGCGGAACTCTGGAGTCTCTCCAATCGAGCCTGACGTCGAGATCGAAACCGCCATCTTTTACCGGCGAACTCAACTTCTTCAGAAGGTGGATCCTTGTCGCTTCCTCGCGTAGAGTGATGGCTGCCTTGAGGGCTTCTTTCATGAAGGGAAGGTTCTGCTGGAAGATACCCCTGTTCCTGGGATTCGCGAGGTGGTGTAACAGTCCGTTCACAAGCCCGTCTACCAAAACTGTAAAAGATGTTCTGTGAGGGTCCTTGGGGTCATAAAGGTTGCGTGATCCACCCCCACTGCCTGGCTTCTTCTTGCCTCCTGGAGGTTTGTTGAAAGTCTTGCCTCGGAGAGAAGGGTCGAGGGCGTTGACGCTCACTTCACCAGTGAGTTTGTGCTTTAGCAGATCCGCCACGGCATCTCGGACATTCCCGGGGGGGTTGGGATGAGACAGGACGGGATGATCTGGTGGAAGTGGTCTGTCATCGGCTCTAGCGATGAATTCGGGGTAATTGAGCGAGTTCCGCGGGCCAGAACCTCTGTTGTTTCTTGATTCCTGGCCTTTTTGCTGTTTGAACCCAAGAATGTGCTGTTGTTTATCTGGCCCTTCAATCTGGCTACGTTGTGTTAGTTATCCAAGCGTTGGATACCATGCTGCCATCCAGCAATTTAAGAAGAGCATCTCACCAGAAAATTTCGTATGCACCCCAAAAAAAATACTCTCTCGTAACCGTGCGCAAGAAAGTTGTCCGCCTTGACAGGGCCAGCCAGCAAGACCAGCCATGCCAGGACGATTGGGAGCACGGAGAACCGTACCACGGAACTCAGCATGTTCGATGATAGCCGTTTGATCTCAGATTAAGAAGGAAACACTGTATATTCAAGCTGATGAATGGATGATTGAGGGGAAAAACAAGAAAATGGCAAGAAGGCATCTCGCCTTCTTAAATCTTTCTTCAGACACATAGAAGCCCATATCTACATCTTGTGTACGCCGTATCATCTGGAAGCCCTACCAACGTGATATCTTCTTAGCCCATTTTCCCGACTGCTTGGACGACATCTCGCTGCCATGCCTTGGTAAAATCCAAAGTAGTAAACCCGTTTGCTAATCAGCCTGCTACCGCAAGGTGCAATCTGCAGTCCGTCCCAAGGCCCCATCGGAAGGTGGGCTATAAAAATAGAGCCGGGGTATAATATTGTAGTTAACTCGTCGGGCATAACTAAATGGTAACTAAACGGGGTCCCCGCGTCTAGTCAAATGGACAGCCCGTCGAGCACCATGCAAGACATCAGCCACAGATAGATCCTGGGCATGCTGGGCAAATCAATCGTTATCTGTTCGTTCTGTCTGCTCTTCCGCCAGATATCTCTTTGAATTGATGTTTTTTCACTTCTGGATGTCGTTTTCAATTGATGTTTTTTTCACTTCTGGATGTTTGTTTTCAATTGATGTTGATGGCTGTGCTCTCGTATTATTGGATGCAGATGCGGGAAGATTGCAAATTCCTATTGGTCAGTAATCTGTTCACACTCGGAGATTCTCTGCGACTATTGGCTAGTGACAGCACAGAAAATGGGTTCTCTTCATTCTCATTGGATGAGACTGTACCTTCACATGAAACTAAATTTATGATAGGCCCATCACAAGACAAGAAAAACTCTTTCGCTGCATATAAAACGCCGTGCTATAAGTCTTGGAACATGATAGGGAGGATGAAGGAGTCGGGGATAAGGGGGACGATGGGCTTCTTCTTCTTCTCTTTCTTTTGGCTAAAAAACTTCGTTGTGATCGTCGTCTTGCATGCAGAATGCAGAGATGGAGAGAGAATATGTCCATCCGGCCAAGAGATTCTACATAAACCAAGTAGTGATTATCGGCGCCAGGCAGTCACTGCCATCAGCCTTGGGTTGACGGGATGCTGGCGATGCTGAGAGAAGTCGATGCTTTGGCGATGAGCATTCATGAAGATAACGGCAGATCCTGTCTCGAATGCCGTCGGAGCGTGGGTGGTGGCCAGCTTGAAGGCTCATTGATATCTGTCAGGGGTCAAGCATCAGAGTACAGCACAGCAAGCATAGCAGAGCACCATTAATCTGCATTCTCTAGTCATGCATAATAGCTATAGCCATGAGTTATTTGGCTGTCTAATGGATTCTCTGTCTACTATCCGTAGCCGTAGCTTGACACTGTAGCTGGTCCTGAATATCCGGACTTTGATATTCCCTCCTTCACCCTGACCACCAGTATATTCAGTCAATCTACTACAATATACGCCGTACTGCTACAATATACGCCGTACATCTATGTAATATCGTCTTCATGCCGAGTATGAATCACCTCGTATGTAGAGCGAGGCAGCGAGATCGGCCTATCAGCGCCTCCGCATAAATAATCTCGCCAGCGCAAAGACGAACAAAAACCACCGCAACAAGTCGAACTCGCTGGAGACGTCGACGAAGCATCTCTCAGACCCGCGAGAACCCGCCGAGATGCTTCGAATACACCGTGCCGGGCGTCTGTCCTCAAGGACTCTGCTCTCTCTGCTCCCGTAAGTTGAGTCGTGTCGCATCTCGAAGCTCCTGGAGCTACCCCTGCAGCAGCGAAGTCGGACTCATAGCTAGTTAACTGACAGCCCTCGAACTTCACAGGCAAACCGCGCAGCGCAGCGCCTCGTCCTCGTCGAGGAAGCCCGAAAGCGAGCTCAACAGCGTGTCGAGACATGTCACCCAGCCTATCTCGCAGGGCGCCTCGCAGGCCATGCTCTATGCCACCGGGCTGTCGACAGAGGACATGTCCAAGGCGCAGGTCGGCATCTCCAGCGTCTGGTACAACGGCAACCCATGCAACATGCATCTGCTCGACCTAAGCAACAGGGTACGGGCCGGCGTGCAGAAGAGCGGCCTGATTGGATACCAGTTCAATACCATTGGAGTCAGCGATGGCATCAGCATGGGCACCAAGGGGATGCGCTACAGCCTGCAGAGCCGAGACCTGATCGCGGACTCGATCGAGACGGTCATGGGCGGTCAGTGGTACGATGCTAACATCAGTATCCCGGGCTGTGACAAGAACATGCCTGGCGTCGTCATGGCGATGGGCAGAGTCAACCGGCCGAGTCTGATGGTCTACGGAGGCACTATACGGCCTGGCTGTGCGGCCACACAGGGCAACGCAGATATCGATATCGTCTCGGCGTTCCAGGCGTACGGCCAGTTCCTGACGGGTGAGATCACCGAGGAACAGCGCTTCGATATCATCCGGCATGCTTGTCCTGGTGGCGGTGCCTGTGGTGGAATGTACACGGCCAACACCATGGCTTCCGCTATCGAGGTGATGGGCATGACTCTGCCGGGCTCTTCGTCGAACCCGGCCGAGTCCAAGGCTAAGTTTATCGAGTGTGAAGCTGCAGGCGGTGCCATCAAGAACCTTCTGGTCGAAGATATCCGGCCGTCCGATATCCTCACTCGCCAGGCCTTTGAGAACGCCATGGTCTTGGTGACGGTGACGGGAGGCTCGACCAACGCGGTTCTGCATCTTATCGCCATTGCAGACTCTGTAGGCATCAAGCTAACCATAGACGACTTCCAAGCCGTCAGTGACCGAGTCCCTTTCCTCGCTGACCTGAAACCGTCTGGCAAATATGTCATGGCTGATCTACACAATATTGGTGGAACCCCGTCCTTAATCAAATTCCTGCTCAAGGAGGGCCTCATCGACGGCTCAGGAATCACGGTGACGGGCCAGACGCTGGCCAAGAATGTCGAGAAGTTCCCTGACTTCCCGTCTGACCAGAAGATTATCAGGCCGCTCTCTGATCCCATCAAGCCAACGGGCCATCTACAGATCTTGCGTGGTAGTCTTGCGCCTGGAGGGAGTGTTGGCAAGATTACCGGCAAGGAGGGCACGCGGTTCGTCGGCAAGGCCAGAGTGTTTGATCACGAAGACGACTTTATTGCTGCATTGGAAAGCAAGGAGATTAAGAAGGACGAGAAGACTGTCGTCGTTATTCGATATACCGGCCCCAAGGGCGGTCCGGGCATGCCAGGCACGTATACTTTCTATTTCTCTACCTAAAACTATATCCACATATACTAATATGTTTACAGAAATGTTAAAGCCATCATCTGCCCTGATGGGTGCAGGACTGGGCCACTCCGTTGCCCTAATAACTGACGGCCGATTCAGCGGTGGCTCCCACGGCTTTTTGATTGGCCATATCGTCCCCGAGGCCGCCGTGGGTGGCCCCATCGGACTCGTTGAGGATGGCGATCAGATCACCATCGACGCTGAGAATAGGGTTCTTGACCTTGATGTTGCCGAGAACGTGCTTGCACAGCGTAGGGAGCAGTGGTTGGCTCGAGAGCAGGCTGGTCAAGGCCGGCCTACCGGACTGACTATGAGAGGCACATTGGGGAAGTATGCCAGAAGCGTCAAAGATGCTAGCCCCGGGTGTATAACGGACAGCTTTTAAGAAGGAAAGTTTGTACTTTGCACTCGATAGAAAAGGGGGAAAATAACAATGTATACTTTTTTGGCCTAGCAATGGGGTTTAGTCATTTTCTAATCATATTTTCCTGTATAATTTGGTTGTATAAGTGTCTTTATGAGTGTATCCTGTCCCTAGCTATATACCCGAAATTTGGTTGTTAAGAGAAAAAAGAAAGGGAATAGATCCCAGAATTCCGCATATGCCCCGTGCCGTGAATATCCCAGGATTCGATTCCCATGTCATGTCTGGTCATTTGGTGGTTGTCTTGCCCGTGTAACTCCATCCCCCGTAGTAAGAAAGGTGAAAAAAAGGCCGCTCTTGCACCAGGCATAGAAGGGTTGAACGAAGGAAAAGCAAGTTGGGAAAAAAAAAAAAAAAAAAAAAAAAAAAAAAAAAAAAAAAAAAAAAAAAACCGAATGTGAGGGTATCGAAGACAGCAGAAGAAAGAAGAAAAAACAGTCCTTTGTCCTTTGATCCAGATTGTTCATCAGCCAGCCAACCAGTGAAAATAATGGAATTGAATGGGTATATCATGAATGGAAAGGGGTTGGGAAAGAAAAAAAGCAAAGAAGAAAGAAATCATCGAGCAGCTCTGGCGGTAACGGCATCTGTGGCCAGAAGCTGGATACGCCGCTCGTAAAGGATCATCATATGCATCATAACGTCTCCAAAGACCACGCCAGCCATCTGCTCGTTGTTTGTCAGGTAGGCCTCCACCACATCCTTGTCTCTAGGGTTGTGCTTATCTCCACGAAGGACGATCAGGCAGCCGGGTAAGGTGAGAGTGGGCGAGGGTATAGGCCAGGTGACTTCCGTTTCAAAATCAGACTTGTCAGTACTCTCTCGACGATCCTTGAGGAAAGCTAGCTTGCTTGGCTTGCTGCTGGTCGTGGACGAGCGAGATCTGCTGCCCTGGGTTGAAGGGATAGGCGCCTTATAGAGGTTGATGAGGGAGCGGATATATGGCTTGTCCGCGCGGCAGACCGGGTCGCCTTCGTTGACAAAGGTGTAGAAGAGCCATTTGGCGTACCGTGGGTCTGACGGTTTGTTGATCGGCAGCAGGGATACTGGTGGGGAGCCAAAGGTAAAGCAGTGGATGCGCTTGAAACGGTCACGGAGGTATATTAGCTCCGAACGCAGAGTGGAGGAGAGGATATGAGCATAAAGTAAGCTGGCAACCGCACCGCCGGCAGAGTGGCCTGTGATGACAAGGGAGAACTTTGATCGGGCCGGATTCTCGGCCAAGAGCTGCTCCAGCCGCATAGCCACTGGACGGACCATCTTTCGAGCCACTGAAAGGAAGCCAGCGTGGCAGAGGTTGCCCGGGTCATCGAGGAACCCGGTGGGAGTTGCGGGCTCTGCATTCATATTGGTAGCCCAGTCTGTGAAGGAGGAGCGGGTGGTCCCTCTGACAGCAAAGACGATGAGATTCATGTGATCGAGGGCAACAGATTTGATGACCATGGCCTTGGT